TTTGGAGAAAAGTCATTTTTGGCCAAATTTGATGAAAATGTAAAGCTAACCCCTTGCAATTTTTTTTAATTTTGGCCAAAAAATTAAAATGCGTCAAACTTTCAGGAAAGATGCCTAAGGGAGTGTAGAAGACATTCCAACTCGATTTTTGGACAGAAGTGTCGGTATTATTTTATACAGGAACAATGCGTCGAAAATGTTGGTCAAAATTAGTGAAAAATTTGATTCTTTTATCAATAAATCATATTGAATTTATTCTTCAAGGGTTCTCGTCGATTTCCTACAGTTTTGTGTCCTAGTGCTTTATTTTTGTTTAATTAAAAGTGACTTGAATTTGGATTGAATTTTTCGCGATTGGTACACTGTATTTCTTTAAAATATATTAAATCTATTCTTCAAGGGTTCTCGTCGAATTTCCACAGTTTTCTGTCCCATATCCCGAACAATAAGTGGAAGAAATTCAGTGGAATGTATTTTTCTTCAGTTATCGTCTCCACAAACAGTGCTTTAGTTTTGTTTAATTAAAAGTGACTTGAATTTGGATTGATCTTTTTCGCGATTAGTACACTGTATTTCTTTAAATCATATTAAATTTATTCTTCACGGGTTCTCTTCAATTTTCATCAGGTTTCTGTCCTATATCCCCAACAATCTGTAGACAAAATTTCAATTCAGTGCACTGTGTTGTACTTGAGTTATCGTCTCCACAAAGAGTGCCTTATTTTTGTTTAATTAAAAGTGGCTTGAATTTGGATTGAATTTTTTGCGATTAGTACACTGTATTTCTTTAAATCATATTGAATTTATTCTTCAAGGGTTCTCGCCGATTTTCAACAGTTTTTTGTCCCATATCCCGAACAATTAGTGGACGCAATTTCAATTCAGTGCACTGTGTTGTTCTTGAGTTATCGTCTCCACAAAGTTTGTTGTATTTTTATTCACTTAATGCCGACTTCGCTTCGTTTGGACAGATCGTGTTTCGCGTTGACAATGGTCTCCGCGGTGACCAGTATTTGTGTAGCGCGCCCTCTTTCTGAAAGAAATTGATGCTAGCAATTTCAATTCAATGCAATGTGTTTTTTACTGGGTTAACGTCTCCACAAAGAGCACTTTATTTTCGTTCTTTTTGGATTGAATTTTCCCAGATTAGTACATTCTATTTCTTTAAATCATATTAAATTTACTCTTCAAGGGTTCTCGTCGATTTTTAACAGTTTTTTGTCCTAGAGCTTTAATATTTTTGTTTAATAAAAAGTGCCTTGAATTCGGATTGAAGTTTTCGCGATTAGTTCACTGTTTTTTTCTTTAAATAATATTAAATATATTCTTTAGGGGTTATCGTTGATTTTTAACACGTTTGTGTCCTATATCTCGAACAATTAGGGAAGAAATTTCCATTCAGTGCAATGTGTTTTTCTTGAGTTATCGTCTCCACAAAGAGTGCTTTATATTCGCTTAATTAAAAGTGACTTGATTTTGGATTGCATTTTTCGCGATTAGTACACTGTAATTCTTTAAGCGAACACTGAAAATAAAACACACTTTGTGGAAACGATTACTCAAGAACAACACAGTGCACTGAATTGAAATTTCGTCCACTAATTGTTAGTTGGAACATAGGACAGAAAACTTTTGAAAATCGACGAGAACCATTGAAGAATAAATTCAACATGATTTAAAGAAATACAGTGTACTAATCGCGAAAAATTTAATCCCGAATTCAAGTCACTTTTAATTAAACAAAAATAAAGCCTGGGACCCTGTTGAAACTCAACGAGAACCCTTGAAGAATAGATTTAATATGATTTAAAGAAATGCAGTGTTCTAATCTGGAAAAAGTCAATCCAAATTCAAGGGTTTTTTTAATTGAACGAAAATAAAGCGCTCTTTGTGGAGACAATAAATAAAAAAAACGCATTGCATTGAATTTAAATTGCGTTCAATAAATTGGTCGAGATATACGACACAACAAATTTGAAATTTTGGCAGAAACCGTTGAAGAACAAAATGAATACGAATAAAACAGCGGTGCAATCCAAGAAGTGCATGTGAAGGCAAGTTCCTCGAAGTTTCGCTTTAAATCACGAAAGAGAATTCTTTTTCATGAAATCATACGAATTTGGATTTTCCTAAAATCGAGGATTCCTCCACCGAGGCCTATAACACCCGTGAGAAAAAACTCAGCTCTTCTATTATAATCGCACCTAAAATTAGAGTGACCAACTTTCCCCCGCAATCCTGTTCTGAGTGTTGCCTCAAGTTGATCATAGACATATACCCAAAAGAAGAAAAAAAAAGAAGTCGGAAGAAGAAGGGTGCACATCGGTAAATAGGCTTTAACCATCCGCCGAGCTCGTGAATAAAAGATATACCCTCAAAATATTCTATATTAAAGAGTTCTGAGAGAAATGGCAAGGAACCTCTGGCCAGGACTTGGGGTTCCAATCCAGAGTAGTTTGAATGCAATTGGGCTCGAAAGTGGCACTATTTTGCCATGCCGTGGAGGGATCATTTTTTAAGACGGCTACTTCAGTTTTCCGCTTCGGGAAAAATAGGGTCATCTTCTTTGAGTGAGAATTCCTCGAAAATTCAACATTCAACCCACCCAAATGAATAGGACATGAAAGATGACATGTTGATCATCATTTTTGTCTGTGCAGCTTAACTACCTGTGTGAGTTCTGAGTATTTTTAAAAAGAATGATGAAGTATGGGCATTTAGCACTAGTGTCTATGGGAATTTTATTGCAAGGTTGCACCCAGAAGGCCAAGATTCGCAAGAAGACGACGTGATTGACCCTTAAAGCACTCAAGCGTGTAACACTACACGTGCCACAGACGTGTGGCCAGGCAACCCAGGGTTGTGTACGTTTTGACGTCACGTACGCATTGTAATGCAAATACGCACAGAAAATCAATAACTGAGAAGGAAAGAGTTGCAACCACTGAGCTATCAGATACGGAAGCCGGATAGTGCCAGGTCTCTAAGGGATGAATATATATTTTGCAAACACGTCAGAATTTTTTTGTACATCGCCGCCACTTAATATGCGGCGGCCGCAACTTATTATGTGGCGGCCGCAACTTATTATGTCGCGGCCGCAACTTATTATGTGGCGGCCGCAACTTATTATGTGGCGGCCGCAACTTATTATGTCGCGGCCGCAACTTATTATGTCGCGGCCGCAACTTATTATGTGGCGGCCGCAACTTATTATGTGGCGGCCGCAACTTATTATGTCGCGGCCGCAACTTATTATGTCGCGGCCGCAACTTATTATGTGGCGGCCGCAACTTATTATGTCGCGGCCGCAACTTATTATGTGGCGGCCGCAACTTAATATGTGGCGGCCGCAACTTAATAACTGGCGGCCGCAACTTAATATGTGGCGGCCGCAACTTATTATGTGGCGGCCGCAACTTATTATGTGGCGGCCGCAACTTATTATGTCGCGGCCGCAACTTATTATGTCGCGGCCGCAACTTATTATGTGGCGGCCGCAACTTATTATGTCGCGGCCGCAACTTATTATGTGGCGGCCGCAACTTATTATGTGGAGGCCGCAACTTATTATGTGGCGGCCGCAACTTATTATGTCGCGGCCGCAACTTATTATGTCGCGGCCGCAACTTATTATGTGGCGGCCGCAACTTATTATGTCGCGGCCGCAACTTATTATGTGGCGGCCGCAACTTATTATGTGGCGGCCGCAACTTATTATGTGGCGGCCGCAACTTATTATGTGGCGGCCGCAACTTATTATGTGGCGGCCGCAACTTATTATGTGGCGGCCGCAACTTATTATGTGGCGGCCGCAACTTATTATGTGGCGGCCGCAACTTAATAACTGGCGGCCGCAACTTAATAACTGGCGGCCGCAACTTAATATGTGGCTGCCGCAACTTAATAACTGGCGGCCGCAACTTAATAACTGGCGGCCGCAACTTAATAACTGGCGGCCGCAACTTAATAACTGGCGGCCGCAACTTAATATCTGGCGGCCGCAACTTAATATGTGGCGGCCGCAACTTAATAACTGGCGGCCGCAACTTAATATCTCGCAGCCGCCACTTAATCATCTGAATTATCTGACGCTATAAGTCAGACCAAAGACTCGAAGCTTTGGAGAAGGAAATCTTCACAGGTGAGCTCGCTGTTCCCGCTTTAATTTTTGGTTTGCTTAGTTCTAATAACGCCAGGTAATGAAAAATCCCTCCCTGTAGGCCAATATTGCCAAAGCTTTTGGCAGATGAGATGTATTGCTTTTAATAGCCTTTAGTACCGTAGTGTTATCATGCATAATGCATGAGGCCCCTGATTGTCTCGACTCTGCCTGTGATTATGACAAAGCGGCTGATTTTTGCTACTAAACACTAATATTTTCACGGTATGGTGTTCAAAATGTGTATGTAGTATACATGTTGTATTATTTTGCTCACACAGATAAGCTATGGATCAAGATATTATAGCCACGTATTTCCATTTGGGTCTCAGTTACACGGAAATTTTGTATGCGCTTGCTCTAAACCACCGAATCGTCATAAGTCTTAGGACACTGAAAAGACGCTTGCGTCAGCAACGTCTGTTTCGACGCAAACACTTCACTGACATTCTGGAAGTCGCTGACTTCATTTTTGATCAGATCAATGAAAGTGGAATTATGCATGGATACAGATGGATGCATTTGAAATGTCTGCAAGCTGGCAAAGTCGTTCAACGAGACACGGTTTATGCCGTTATGAAGATCCTAGATCCTGATGGTCTGCAACTTCGGAGAAGAGGCAGGCTCATAAGAAGGGAATACTTCGCAAGGGGACCCAACTACTTGTGGCACCTGGACTCCTATGACAAACTTAAGACGTATGGGTTGCGCATCAATGGGTGCATTGATGGGTTTTCGCGTCAGATAGTTTGGCTAAACGTATATCGCACGAGCAGCGATCCTAAGGTGATTGCTGGATATTACATGGAAGCAGTGAGCGCTATGGAAGGATGTCCAAGTATGATCAGAGGAGACATGGGAACCGAGAACGGGCGTGTGGCGATGATGCAAGAGTTCTTGTCGGAGCAGAATAGCTTCATATATGGGAAAAGTACTCACAATCAGCGGATAGAGGCTTTTTGGTGTATGCTGCGTAAAGAATGCACACAATTTTGGATTGATGCTCTGAAGACATTGAAGGATGTTGGCGATTTCACAGGAGACTCTCTAGACACAGGTCTTGTCCAATTCTGCTTTATGAGTTTGGTCCAGGTGTGTTGAATTATTTCAATTTGCTGTTCGTCATCCTCATGCATGTATGCCGAAATTAGGTCAATGTGGAAAAATCTAATATGGTGCAAAGCCTGTCTTAACTGTGAGGACGGTGTAAAGTAATGCCGTGCACTTTACCCTTTCCATATGACTGGATATCCCTCTCTCTCTCTCAAAAAGGAAAATAAATATAGAAAACCCACTTAATACCACTAAATGGAGTTCCAAAATTATTGATTGTCATTGTGAAAGTCTTAAGTATGTGTATGGCTGCTGCAATTTTGACTACTTTATAATTATAATTCTAATGTATAATTCAATCAAAAGTTATGATACTCGAACATACCGAATGTGAGTAAAAGATGTGATATAGCCTAAATTTCTTATTTGTCATTTTTTGTAATAGAATGATCTTGATAGGATGTCGTCTGTCTGGAACTGCCATCGCATACGACGTTCAAAGAATCAGAACGTTCCCAACGGAAGACCTGTAGTTCTCTTCTCCATGCCAGAATTGTTTGGCCGACGTGACTACTTGAAGCCAGTTGACCAGGAACATATCGAAGCCTGCTGCACCGAGTGTACCTTCAGGGATGGCCTTCCGTGTGACGAGGAGTTATTTGAACTCTTCATTATTTACATGACTGAACATTCTTTGGAACATCCTGGCAATGTAGAGCAGGCACTGCAGCTATACCACGCGCTGCGTGATGCCATTCGACAGGATCTGGAACAGTAATATATAGACCTATATAGTTTCTCACAATACTGTCAGTGTCGGTGATACCTGCTGCCCAGAAACGACTTGTGGATCAGTAATGAGATGAATTATTGATGTTATATGAAAACCTCCAATTTGTAAAAAAGAAGCACATGTCACGAAGTAGACATCAATTACAAAAAGGCCATTAATGAACCTCTTAAAGTTGAAATTGGTGTACTAAGTTGTCAGTTTTCTGAAATCAAGTACATGGAATTATTGAAGTAATTGAGTAGGATAAACAGCCAACGTCAAGGATAAACAGCCAACGTCAAAAAAAAATAGCCGATATCCCACTCAGCCCAGCCAGACGTTATTAAAATATCAAGCAACAGGTTTGGGTGTGTTGGTGGGGGTGAGGGACCTTCTGCTGAACAACCCCAGCAAATAAGGCGAAGTACACCATGTCTGCACCCCTGGACCCATTCTTAGAACATACTCGAATGCCATGAATGACGTACAGACAAATCTATGTAGATTACACTACTAATTACATTCTTACCTATTTCTTAGTTTTGTTTATGTATAAGTCTATTTCCAGGTTTTTTTTTATATATTTGATTGCAGCACTTTTGGAAAACTGCATTGTTCAAAGAATGTTCAAACTAACCACAAATGAATATACAGAGTGAAACCAACATTTCTAACGGAAATTTTCTGTGATTCCCAGTTTAATTGCCTGGCAAAAACTACTTTTATTACAATCCACGTCACTTTTTAATTAAAAACGATTAAATAAACACTTCACTTTTTTTATAATTTCAACGAGCAAAACCAAAACGCTATATCAAAACTTCAACAATATCTAACACGAGCAACTGCCTGCAAATGTAACACCTCAGTCACCAATATAATTATGCAATGAAATTTGGGACAAATATAATCCAAATGTGTGAGCAAAACGTCTTTGGAAAATCGAAAAGGTACGATTTGCTTTTCCTGTTGAATTTGTATTTCAACGGAACTAATTTACATTTTGGGCGAGTTACCTTTGCACAATTTGTACAGGACGCGGAATATGCATCGCCAAATTAAAGTGCTTTATAATTAGGATTTTGTGACGTATGTAAAATCTACAACTAAATCTCGTATGAACTTATTTATGAGGGACACATCATTCAAAGGAAACCTTTGCATCGTAGGAAAGAAGCAATATCAACAAAATATGTTTTGTGGGATGGAGAAAAAAGGAAAAAAAATTATAACAGTAGTGCCAGCCTTTGGGATTAGCGAATCTTATACAGTAACAAAAAAATCATTTCAAAATACTACAACTACAGAACACCACATAAAAGAATGTATATCCCATGAACAGAATTTGGGATTTAAAAAGGTTATTTCACTACAATACAAATGGGAAATGTCACTGTTTATGAAGAATACTTGTCCTCGTTAAAACACATAAAGAACAAAATGGCAACGCAATTGAAAAATACAACTGTTACTGAAGGAAAGTTCTCTTAAAACATAAAAGAACAAAATGGCAATGCAAATGAAAAATACAACTGTTACTGAAGGATATTTCTCTTAAAACATAAAAGAACAAAATGGCAATGTAAATTAAAAATATAACTGTTACTGAAGGATAGGCCTACTTAAAAAAGAACCAAAATTATGGCAATACAACTCTGACTGAAGGTTATACTGAAGGTTACTTCTCCTCAACCAAAATGGCGGCGCAAATGAAAAAAATACAACTGTTACTGCAGGATACATCTCCTCATAATACATCATGAACAAAATGGCGGCGCAAATGAAAAAAATACAACTGTTACTGCAGGATACATCTCCTCATAATACATCATGAACAAAATGGCAGCGCAAATGAAAAAAATACAACTGTTACTGATGGATACTTCTCATCATAATACATAATGAACAAAATGGCAGCGCAAATGAAAAAAATACAACTGTTACTGATGGATACTTCTCATCATAATAGATCATGAACAAAAATTATGGCAATGCAACTGTTACTGAAGGTTATACTGAAGGTTACTTCTCCTCATGATGATACAAAAAGAACAAAATGACTTTTCGTTTCAAGCACGTACATAATACAATATACAAATCATGTATAACATAAAGCACACTTCCAAATCACCTAATTAACTACTACTGCAGTGAAACAAGAGTGCATGTATGGGGATTGATATAGGTTGTCTGTTAATGAAATCGAAGAAGGGTGACACGGCTTTTAGATGATGTCCATTTGCCAGTATCTGTTGCGAAGGAGGGTGGTGAATTCTGACTTCAATGTGATATAAGGCAGTGCCGCATCCGAGCGCGGAATGTTCAGAACACACCCACATGTGTGTGCTGTGGGGCAGCGAATCTCTGACTCGGTGAACCTGGTGGTGATCTTCTCTCTGACCGCGAGGTCGGACCCTGTGCAAAATCGCAAGAACAGGCCGAGCAGATTCTGATCCATCTCCCTCACCAGTCTCTTAAGTGAGGAACTCAAGGCGCCTTCTTCTGTGTTCATTGGTTTGGGAAATTCCAATATGTTCAATACCTTCCTGGTTGATGGCTTCAGGTTGTCATAAATCTGACGGAGCTGGAGTCGTGAGAGGCCGAGAGATTTCAGCTTTGGTCGCCAACACAGCGCCACAAATAGTGGTACTTGAAGCATCTCCTTATTTGCCATCTCGGTAAGTGATTTCTCGATGTTCTCGTCTGTAAGGTTTCGTCTGGCATCGTGTCGTTCCATGAAATCCATCAAGTCATCTGCATCGACAGATGAAACACTCCTCATTGCATCTTCAAGCAGCAATCGGTCGACATCCGGGAGCAATTGCATGAACGCGTCTAGTGGGTCATCGGGTGTCCCAAAAAATGCCAGTTGCATGAAAGGCAGAGCAAGCCTGACCGGCAAAATTCCCTCCTGTCTGAATGCTAAGCGGATTACTTCTCCCACTGCCGACCAATGGACCTTGGTCATGTCATGGCGTAATACCGGTACGGCTACCGAGTTGCCGATTGTGTACTGCAAATAAAAGCTGTCGAAAAACTCAGTAAGTGCATCCCTCAAGACTCCTCCGTTGTCTTCAGCCATCTCTGTGCTTCCATCTGACTTCAGCATCTTCACTTCGAAGGTTGTTCCTCTCAGGTTGACGTTCTCCTCTTTCGAGAAAAATGTTACCATTTCTTGACAAACGTTGCCACGGTGCACTTTTATTTCTTTTACCAATGGCTGTGTTGCATTTAAGTCCAGTTCCACTGCTGCTGGGAAGGGGCCAAACTGAATGATACCGGAGTCGTCGTCGTTTAATCGAGCCAGTTGGTCCTCTTGAATGAATTCGTCAGGAATGTTATAGGTTGGTGGAGTGAGATTCACAGCATCCGAGTCCAACGTTGCAGCAAATACTGACTGGACATCTAATTCAACGCGGTCTTCAGCAGCTTCGGACAACAGTGGGTTGTTGGAGGGCGATGAGTCATCAGCAGTCTGCACGATGACTTCATTGTCAACTGTCATCTCATCACCTTGATTCAACGGACGGTATCGCTCCGAGTTAGGTTGCCCATGAGAAATGTGGTGGCCGTCACTTGTGCTCGGTACCTCCTCTTGGCTCGAATCAATGGCTGTTGGCATGAGGTTTTCCTCTCCTCTCCGACGTCTGTGAGCAAACATATCAGGTAGATCTTCCAGGCTGTCTTCTGCAGGGTCACTTGCTGACTTATCTTCATCCAGGTCTACTGATTTGGCCAGGAGATAGCATCGTACGTGTTTTAGACCAAGTCTGTCGATCAAATGTTGAATAGTCTCGTTCTCGTGAACGGGTTGGCTACCATGCACATCTGTGGAGACATCTAACTGGAAGTCCCCGAGCGAACCATGACAGTTTTTTCCATCTTGAAAAAACAAGGGGCAAAGGGTATGTAGCAATTTTTTTTGGGTGTATTTTTGTCGACAGTAATGTGACGTATCCCCCCACCCATGGGGGCGCGTACCTGCTTGTACCTGGACTCTGTAGCCTCGTAAACAGAGAACCCGACTATTAGGGACCTTGAACTTGTTGATGCCTCTTTCGCTTTCTTGCCTCTCGGGCCCCTCTTTGTTTCTGCTGATTTCTGCGTGCTGTTTGACTGACCGCCGTCACTTGGCCCGGGGGCAGAACTCTCATATTCTTCCTCGCTGTCACTTACAAGTCTGGCTGTTTTTTTCCCTGACTTTCCTGCCATTCGGGACCTCAAGCTCTCGAGCAGTGTAAACTTCCTCTTCTGAGTTTGAGTTTCACTGTTCTCCTTCCGGACGAAAGCCTTAACGACAACTCGGTCACCCTTACGAGGAATGTACTCGCTGAGTTCTTCATCCGTCATTTCAATAATGACATCCTCGTCAATCTGAAACATACAAACAAACAAACAAACAAAAAGTAAAAACAAGAATCTTTTCTAGGCATTGATATACTCCGACTAGAAGGACTGACAAGGAAGACTTAGTCCCGTGACTTAAGAAAAAAAATGTGACATGCGGAATTCAAGCACAAATTGTGTGCTGTGGGTCCAAAATAATCGACAGCAGTTGGGTGTCAGGTTTTGGTGGACTAAATTGAGGTCAGGTCATAGTCAAAGTTTGCGCAAAGGGTCTCTGGTGGTTTGCTTTTCTGATTGGGCGGTCTTAACTGCCAGGTATATAATATCCTTTGATGTTATTCCAAATGTAAAATGTCACACTTTTATGTGTGGAAATTCACTTCAACCATAAACAGTATAGTTGACCAACTTTGACCTTAACCTAGACAACAATTAATATGAATTGGCATTCAAAACTGCGACCGGGTCGTACCCGATCACTTTACGAATTAAGAAGAACGGTCAGGACAGCTTTAAGAAAATTCTCAAGAGCCACCGTTGAGGAAAAGAAACGTCTTTTTTTTATCAAGACTCAATTAAACAACATACAGGGTGTCCCAAAAAATGGTGCAAGTGAAACGCGCCACGTTACCCATTAACCATTCAATATTTGCTACAGATGTTTATATCATCTTCATGATTACTTCATTAGCTTCGAAATGCCGCTTCTTTCATCGTATTTGCTTTAGTTCATGTAGAGATATGTTTGATTAACCACAAACACCTAAAATCAAGTTTGTGCCACTTTTAGAGTATGAATGCTTCTAAGCCCAAACGCTGCCAGTAGTTCACACATGAGAAGAAATCACCCATGTGTGAACTACTGGCACTTGCACCATTTATTTTGGGACACCCTGTATATTTGAATGAAATTAATGCCCCCCCCCCCCCACACACACACACCCACATTTTTAGGACCATATACAAAAACCCTATGGATAGCGTCTAAAAAGGTTTTCCTAAGAAACGTAACATATTATCCACGTTGATATCATGATTTCTCATTAGAATTTCACTTTTGTTATAAGGAAATAAAGTGGAGGTATTAAAGTAAAATCTATACCGCTTGGATAATTGGATTAGGTCCCTCCAGGAATTCTGCTGAGCACCCTTACCTTTTCGTTCTGCATTTTTTCCAATGTGTCACGCTGCACACCTCGGGCTTTAAGTACACCCCACAGCCGCTCAGACATGCTGAAATGTGCAAACAAAATTAATTTTGCAAACTCGCATTCTCAAATTTGTATCCTTGTTTTGTTTGTTCTCGTGTACAAATAGAAAATAGTGTGGAAATCGAATTTCAAAATGCTGCTGTTCTAACCAGAATCACTCTCCTGGGTTGAAACTTCGACCCAATGTCCCTTTAATATATAAAATACTTCAATTTGCGACGGATCAACACACTTGGAAATTCCTAGTTTATGAGTAAAATCAAAATAATCTATTTCGTGAAATCCTGGTGGATACCTAGTCACCTTCAGAAATTTCCTTGTGTCGACCTTTACAATCTTTTGTTCCATATTATACCCGGGTCTCCACTAGGATACAAATTTCAGGTCATGAAAATCAAAATAAGGGCCGGAAGCCGAAAGAGATTTACAACTTAAACTTGGTAAAGAAAAAGGAAACCTAGCTGTCAATAATTACAAGAGCAAAACAATGTGCAATGAAGGCCTACAGCTACCTAGGCCAAGTGCCTCAATTTGACTGATGACACGTACATTTACAAGGCACATCCAAAATGCCTGATACAAAACGAATTTAAGATGTTAATGTTAGTAACATACAGTATGGGCTTGATCTCACCTGACGAGGCTTGCTACCAAGTGCAAATGTACGCGTCCCCAGTGTCGCCTTTACATACAATTACAAGTGGTAGCATCAATACGATCGATCGGACTGACAGACAAGACCGTGCACGCCCGGTCCCCACTGGCTGTCGAGACCACGTGGTGAACACGAGATATTAAGTTGCGGGCCGCCACATAATAAGTTGCGGGCCGCGACATAATAAGTTGCGGCCGCCACATAATAAGTTGCGGCCGCGACATAATAAGTTGCGGCCGCCACATAATAAGTTGCGGCCGCGACATAATAAGTTGCGGCCGCCACATAATAAGTTGCGGCCGCCACATAATAAGTTGCGGCCGCCACATATTAAGTTGCGGCCGCCAGTTATTAAGTTGCGGCCGCGACATAATAAGTTGCGGCCGCCACATAATAAGTTGCGGCCGCCACATAATAAGTTGCGGCCGCCACATAATAAGTTGCGGCCGCGACATAATAAGTTGCGGCCGCCACATATTAAGTTGCGGCCGCCACATAATAAGTTGCGGCCGCGACATAATAAGTTGCGGCCGCCACATAATAAGTTGCGGCCGCCATATAATAAGTTGCGGCCGCCACATAATAAGTTGCGGCCGCCACATAATAAGTTGCGGCCGCCACATAATAAGTTGCGGCCGCGACATAATAAGTTGCGGCCGCGACATAATAAGTTGCGGCCGCGACATAATAAGTTGCGGCCGCCACATAATAAGTTGCGGCCGCCACATAGTAAGTTGCGGCCGCGACATAGTAAGTTGCGGCCGCCACATAATAAGTTGCGGCCGCCACATAATAAGTTGCGGCCGCCACATAATAAGTTGCGGCCGCCACATATTAAGTTGCGGCCGCCGCATATTAAGTGGCGGCGATGTACAAAAAAATTCTGACGTGTTTGCAAAAAATATATTCATCCCTTAGGGACTGGCACTATCCGGCTTCCGTAATCAGACTAAAAAAAATACGCTAAAAAAACGCTTTTTGTCACAAATTTTGGCTGAAATATCGCAAAAAGATGGGAAAGAAAGCGAGAGTGGAGGACGGCCAGGCACTTACGGGCGGCGAGGACGGCGACAAACCGAAATATGGTGAGTTTGAGTTTGGAAAAGTGGCAGACGAATTTTGTTTTTTCGTGTCAGCGAGAAGTGCGGGTTGTGTTTGGCCGAGTGCCACGGCGCAGTTGTGTTGAATTGCCTGGTGTTGCTTTGTCGGGGAAATGTGATCTCTCCGCGGTGTCAATTTTTTTTTTTTCGTGTGTTTTATGAGTTAAAACATAACCTGTTGACACTCCATAAATGCGTGTATTCCTTAACGTATTCTGTATGTTGTTTTATGTTTGTAAAACTGATACAAATCGTCAGAATATAGGCCTAGGATGGCCTCTAGTCTGACTTTTGGCTGTGCGTGGGGTCTGAAAATGGCATTGATTTATATTCACCTTCAGAGTTATTTGATTCTTTCATTTTAACCTTCGCAGCGTTTTGAAGGTTTTGCATGTACTTAAACTTAATGTTCACTCAGTTTTTTATGCAATCAAATGTCATTTCTAATATAGTTCTAATTTTTTTTTACAAATTATTACTGTTGTTTATTTGTTGTCCTTTAATATTTAGATCATATGTCATAATGAATTTTTTTGGCCTTAGGCCTACATATTTTTGTAGAAATTACTCTTAAATTTGTTAATCGGAATGAGGACTTTTGGTACGCTGCAAACATTGAGACAAATTAAAGTTCAAGGAAATAAGTTAAAAAGTTTCAAGTCAAAATATTTTAAATAATGTTCTAGGCCTAATTTTACAAAATTTATGCATGTTTTTAAGCAAGATTAAAATAACTTGTGAGGTGATGAACAAAGAAGGATGTGCCTTCCAAAAAGGATGAGGGCGGCGACGAACAACTGATTTTATTTTTACTTGGCCTAACATGAAAATAAATGTAATCAAAATATTACCACTCAGCAATCGGTAAACTGTACAACTGTGTTTGCAAATCACACTAGAGAAATTATTACACAAGTTTTAATTAATTAAATGCAGCTTCTGTTTTGTCATTTCATTACCTCTAATTTGATGAAACTATAAATAATTTTTCCTTGAGATACAATTCACACAACATAGGTGGTGTACAAGTTGTTGTAAACATGTACAACTTTGACACACAATTTGTCACATCAAAAGCAGTAGAAATATTGAATTTGCTCTAGTGATTTAAAAAACAATTGTTTCAAAACATCATGACTAAATTTCTTTGGAAATGGTTTAATTTTTCCAAACAACGTTTTGTTAGGCCCTCCCCCCCCCCCCCAAAAAAGTCTCTGGATTCTGGCATGGAGCTTGCCCCAAAAGTGGAGCAGCGACGCGGCTTTTTCTTCAAATGTCGGCTGATGACTGCAAATGGTGCCCGACTAAGGAAAGATTTCCATGTATACGAAGTTAACTCAACACCCTGTGTACAAACCCTATGAGATTGGACTGAAAAATTCTAAGTGTTTTCTAAGAAAATGCTTGTATTTTCTCACTGCTCAAATTGACTTTGATGACATGAAATTGCTATCTGGGGGCTTGTTAGTCAATACAGAGGAAAATTAGTGAACTTCGTATACGGAAATCTTTCCCCCGACTAAACTTAGTGCAATAATGGGAGTCCAGAGAGGCCACATAAAGCTTACACTCGATTGTAACCCGATCTAAAAACACCTTAAAATTGTGCAGCAGCAGGATTCCAGTCAAACCAGTGAGTTTGGCGGTTTTGAGACAACATCTTTCATTGGAAAAAAAACTTTTTCACTTTGCCGATGCGCATGGCTACGGCGATGCGTGCGCGTACCAGAAACCGAAGACTTTTTTTGGGCCTTAACTTGTCTACAACAGTACCTGTAGTTTTTAACTATGTTTTGCATTTGGGATATTGAGTCATTCCTGTAGCCGCTCAGTTCTTTGGTGATGCATTCTCTTCCAGTTTTGGGTAAATTTATTGTTATGCTAATAATAATAGGAAGAAAAGGACTAAAAAATACTGCGCCGCGTCAACTGAACCATTCATCAATTCACACTGCAGGACTTCCTTTTTCTTTCGATAAGCAATCTGCCTACCCGATGCCTGCATTCCACAAATTTCCCGTTATACATGTATTTTGGTAATCAGCGCTGGTGATGCGGGTTGCCCTAGCAACCATCATTAAAGTCCTTCACTGCGTAGATTAGAAACTAATGGATACTTCCTTGACGCAACAAAAAAATGCCTGTCAGTAAGCTGCGAGCAGCTGTCAAAATACAAATTAGCTTTCATAATTACAAATTACGGAAAAAAGGGAGAACAGTTTGTCCCTTTACCTATAAGATTTCATCCATCTCATATAACTCAAACAATACAATAAATATATGCAAATGGTTGCAGAATGGACCTAGATTGCCGTTTGCGAGTTAGCCAGGCCCCTTTAGACAACCCGATGGAGTTTTTGTACACTTGAAGTTTTGTTTGTCTTAGATTTTATGCCTTCTGCGTTTATTTGTATGTAATTGAACAATATTTCACGAGCTTCGTTGACGCAATTCTAAGGCGATTCTGCCGTGATACTGTAGATTGGTTATTTGAAACATCCTTTTAAAGTAGTAGGTCTGAACACCTACCTCTGGTTAACGAGGTTGTAAAATAAGTCCCCCCCCCAAAAAAAAAAAAAATCAATAAAAAAAGAAATTAAAAAAGTAACCAAAATATTATTTATAGGCCTATCCTTTAATGAACCACTGGTAAAATCATTTGTGATTTGCTTTTGTTGGACATTTGTCAAACTTGTGGTAAAACAGAATTTTTTTAAACGCTAATATTTGTCACGCTGCAAGTTTGGCAAAAGCCAGACATTTGCATTAAAAAAAAAAAAACCTGCAAATTATTATGTAAGGACAGAGTTTTTGTGGAAGGCACAAGTTCTGGTCGTTCAACATTTAAAAATGAAATTGAGGTACAATGTAATTAACAGTTGGTAAATTTTTGAAGATTGGCAGTTTTTCCAAACAAAGGGGATGGGGGGGGGGGGGAATGGTGTTTGACTGACACAGTTCATTTTGCTTTTGTGAAACCTTGAAGATTAATTGTTATAATTAATACTTAACAGCCTTTCATGTTACCTTTGGGTGAAGGGATAATTAGTGGCGTATTGAGGCACATAATAATGACCTGTTTATGTCAGGGCCTTCAGTGCTAATTGTTAGTCCAATTAAGGCCAAGTAAAGAAAAAAAAGCAAGTTGATTGTCCCCGCCCGCATACTTTTTGGAAGCCGCATCCTTTCGTTTTTTTTTCACCTCAAAAAGCTAACTTTTTTTTGTATTTCGCTTTTATAAAATACATAGAACATGTTAACATGAATATTTTGACTCTACAATGTATTTACTATTGCTCGATAGCTAATTAAAAGCTGAACAGAAGTTGGCGGTCATTTCGATTGAAATACTTGGATGCCATATTGGAAAAAAAAATAGAAATATGTAATAAAGAGGCCCTCATCCTCCTCTTTTTGAAAAAAAACCCCTGGACGATCAACTGTTTTGTTTTTTTACTTGGCCTATGGAAAAGAATCAGAGAATGTAAAATCTAAGAGAATTTCTTGAATCCATGAGATCATTTCCAAAAAGTCCAGAATATTTAGTGATATTTGTGTTATTTCAACAAGATGTAAGGAAATTTTTGCAAGAGAAAGAACGTTAAATCAGTTCTAAAAACAATGGTAAAAACAATTGGCTCTGGCGATTATCTGCGTCCAGGCCCCAAGCTGGTTTTAAACGTACACGTGTGTTTAAGACCAGCCAAGCACATATTTATTCCCTTATTATAATTTTAAAACAAAAAAAGGCATTGAAAATACAACAAGATTCATATTGTCATATTATTTACCAACATAAGTACTTGTTTGTACACGCTGTAAATTTTACGAATGCATACTGTTCTCAAAAATGCAGAGATGTATATTATTCATAAATGCCTGCAGCAGTTTTCATTTTCATTTGTAACAAAGGTGATGAACAAATGTGTGTCCTATGCGGCGCTGCTAACTCTCACGCATTGATGAGCGTGAAACTCACGCATTTCAGGTTGTTCTCGTGCTCTCACGCGCACTCGGGATTTTGCGCAAAAATAACTAAACAAAACTCGAAACTGATGTTTTAATGATGATCTTTTGCTCAGAAAAATTGGTTAAAGAGGTCAGAAATTGCCTCAGATTGAGCAAATGCGTGTCCTATGCAGGACTGCCAACTCCCACGCATTGATGAGCGTGAAACTCACGCATTTCAGGTTGTTCTCGTGCTCTCACGCGCACTCGGGATTTCGCGCAAAAATAACTAAACAAAACTCGAAACTGATGTTTTAATGATGATCTTTTGCTCAGACAAATTGGTTAAAGAGGTCAGAAATTGCCTCAGATCGCACCACAGAGCGTCTAGAATCGAATATTTTTCTGGGCCGATCAGCGCGGTCCCCGAACCCACGCCGTTAGGGCATCGTGCTTCGCACAGTGCTCGCATTTAGCATATGATTAGTTCTGATTAAACTCCATCGCCAAACTCTCACTCTCAGCTCTTACTCAAAGTTGGCAGCCATGCCTATGGTTGGGGAATTTGTATCCTGGTATGTTTAGCCCTTAGTTCTTGAGTTTTAATTTGTTGTAGTTAAACAAAAGATAGGGCCTACTCAATTTCTTTTTTTGCATTTTGCATTTTCTCAAGTTGTCACAATTTCTATGAAATTCTCAACAATTTTTTTTTTCCGAGAAATTTCTGAAACAAATTCCAAAAATATCTGAAAAATAAAGCCTCCAAAGAATAAAATGGTTTAAACTATCCACGTCATGAAACCAATTTTCTAGAACCAGGCAGAAAATTATTCTTGATCCTTTGAAATGTTTGCATTGTCTGCCTGGCAATTGTAGCTCGTATTTACTGCTGTTGTCAGGAACCATTCATTTACGCGGTGGATTTCTATGCAGAACGCATTCTCGGCTGTGTCGGTTCCTGCTCGAGCGCCATTGTCAGGTGGCACGGTTGCTTAGCAACAGACAAACGGAGGTAAACTGTTGAGCTGGTCACTGCTCTCGTGTACCAGTGGTCAATACATGGAGTGTATTGTGTTTGCGCATCAGCGCTCGCAAACACTCAATGCACTGGTAGATGTGCATTGTAATGCTGTAGACATGCTCATGTTCCATGCATTAGGGAATCCATGAGGGAAATATTGTGTTCTTTTTTTCCACACAAAAATTGTCTTTGTGTTGAACTTCTCTGATGTGCACTTGGCTCACAAATTTCCTGTCCTTAAAAAGAATTTACAAAAGTTCTACACATATTCACTGTACATACATGTACAAATGTACAGGAAAAGCATTTAGGCATATTATGCAAACTTTATCATACATTCAGTTTAGGACCAAAAAACAACAACAAACAAACGAATAAACAAACAAACATAATTTACATACCCCGCCCCTTTTATCAGTTTGAATAATTAATAATTTAAATTCAGGTTTAGATTTTGCCTCTTCACCGATGGTGAAGGGCAAAACGGTAAACCCAATATTCAATTTACATCACCCCGGCGCAAATTAAATTGTACATTTATTGTGCATCTTCTCATGGTTTATTGAATAAAACTATAGCAAAATAAAGAGGGTGACACAGAACCAATGCATTGCTGGCTGGAATGGATTTAATCGACGTTTCGAGACAGTTAAACTGCTCTTCTTCAGGATGTGAACAAAATCTTGAATCTTAAAGTGGCATTTTGAGATGAACATAATTACCATTGTAATGGGCAGCACAATTATCTATCAGTTTTGCCTGTGGCATGTGTACATTGGAATATAAAAATATGAATACAATGAAAATTGGTTTTAGACTAATTTATTTTGTAATAGGTTCAAGGTATATTCACATACACGTAACTTTTTGGTTAAAATGAAAATGGGGGATGCTTAATATTTTGAATGTTCTTGATTAAAAAACAAATGGTGAGCAAAATTAATATAATGTAATCAGGCTGACTGTTTGTGGAAGCTATATTTGTTCTGAGCAAAGCTGCTTAATTGTGGCTTGTTTACTTTTCACATTGCTCCTCCATAAAAATGCAATTACAAGTCGATCATGATGAAATGCTGATGCATAAATGACAACATTGGAACCAGGTTAAGCAAAACCCTCTGTTTCAGTTAGACTGATATTTGGAAATGCATGAGTAACATCCAGTGTAATATTGTGCATCAGGGCGACTCGACCAGGCCAGACTGACCCGAAACATTATAGATATAAACAGAATCCAAATCGAAACTGATCTGAATTCCCCAAATCCAACCTGATGTGACAAAAATCAAGCAAAAACTGACCCAAATCGATCCAAAACCAAACAGATCCAAAAAAGCCCCCAATATCTGGCTTGGGCAGCTGTGTTTGCTTTTTGTGCCTGAATTTTTCCGCGTCGCGTGAAAATTGTTGTCTCTTTAGTAAAAGAATCAAACTCTGGTACCGGAGAAGACTCTGTGGAACCTACACATGTACTTGACTCATAACGGTGCAGCAGGTCCTCGGACCACAGTACTTGTACTTTTGCTGTTCCTTGCCTTTCTTTATAATGTTATGAGAATGGCTAAATAAATAATAATAATAATAATAATAATGTTGACTCAAAAATTCAAGCACGTCATAGACTGTGCGTGATAAAGAGACTGCAAACAACTTGCACATTTTGCGCGGTGGGTTGACGTTGGTCGTACTGGACACAATAACTCTGCAATAATACATGTACATTACACCGTGTGAACATCCGAACTGTTTTATTTTTTTCTTTTGGTTTATTTCAGGTTTTTCACAAGATGGCTTTTAAAACCGACCCGAAAATCGAAAAAAAGCAAAACCAAAAACTGACCCGACTGAAATGATGGAAAAACAGACCTGACCAGAAGTCAGTTTTGGGACGGGTTGGGTTTGATTTCGGGTCGGGTTTTCACAATATTAATCCAGTGAATCTCAGGCACCAATGATTTTTATTCATTCATTTTTACTTTTTCTACAGGAACACCCAAGAAATATGATCCAACATTCAAGGGACCCATCGGAAACAGGTAAAGTATATAGCCAAAGAATCTCAAATACCGGTATTAATACTGTAAAGCACAAAACATTAGGGCTGTGCAAGTTGAAATAATTTAGTATTTGTGATGCGATCAGGCTAAATGAGTCGTTTGTCGGGAATTTTCATTTGGTAATTCAGGCCGACCACTTCATCACATCACTTCATCACATTTCTTGGTGATCCGACTTCCATAATTTTTGAACTACAGATCTACCAGCATACTGTTTTCACAGCAGTAATGCTGAGATTGTGCTCTTTTCAAATTTGTAAATAAAACAACAATTGACCAGGGTCGACAAACGACTCATTTAGCTTGATCGCATCACTTTTGATTAATCTAACTTGGACTTGAATACAGCGTATTTAAATATTTGAAGTGTGCTGATCAAGTTTAACTTAACCAGTTCGCGCCAGGGTTATTTTGATGAGAACGGAACGAGGCGCGGGATTAATTTTCACTCGATCTCAAGCCAGGCGGGTTGAAGCCATCACCCTCGGGCAGCACACTCATTTCCAGCCTCGCTCGCTGCGAGTGGGTCGCTGACAGATATTTTCGGCCTCGCTTCCTGCGTGTTTATCCGTCATCCGTTCAGATTACCGCAAACCTTTGCGTGTACATACACGTCATCCAGCGCGAGCTGGTTAAAAAGGGTTCATTTTGCAAGCTCTGCTTCACACATAAAAATTATTTCTTGGGACTTAATTTTTTTATCTACAGGAGCTGTACAGATGTCATCTGCTGTCTGTTATTCATCGCTTTCTTGGTCGGCATGGGAGTGGTGGGTTATTTTGGTGAGTATAACACAAGAAATTGTAAAACCCTAGCGTCTCTTTCCCTTAAAATTGTTAGATTCCTATATCTATCTCTGATTAAAAGTAAAGTCTGTCACAAGCCAATATGGCCCATCGGGCCGGCGTTTATCTCCGGTTTCCTTGGCATGAAACAGCTGAGAGTATTTCTATTCCCCCTGGATGGGATGCCAGTCCATCGCAGGTTACTGCCCAGCTAACGGCCGGTACCCATTTGTACTCCTGGGTGGAGAGGGGCAAGTGGGGTGAAGTGGCTTGCCCATGGACACTAACATGTGAGCAGCAGCTGGATTTGAGCCCCTGACCCTCTCATCGTGAGTCACGAACCGTCACTAGGCCACACTCCCCGATGTGTCTGATTAGCAATACTGCGAATCACAAAATATAGGGCTGGATAGCCCAGTTGGTCGAGCACTGGAACGGCAATCCGGAGGTCGCAGGTTCAAACCCTGCTACAGTCAATTTCTTTGTTAAACTTTTTCTGAATTTTATTTTTATTTCAACAGCCTACAGAGATGGGGACCCATTATCGTTGGTCTATCCGACGGATTCCAGAGGGCAGATCTGTGGGGTTTCGGAGGCCGTCAAGTAAGTGCAACATATCTTATGCGAATCATACATGTCATCAAAAACCAGCTGTTAGGGATTGTGAAATCGCTGGAATGACTGTCTTGCATTATTAGGTCACGAATTAAAAATAAAATTCCTAGATTTTAACGTTGGGAGACCAGTGTAGGATATTGATAACTACAGAGTTCTTGAATGTTTAAGTCATCGAAAAAAGACTCGGAGATTGGATGCGTGCCAAAAGTTACAGAGATTTGGCGGCATCAAACAAATTTTGTGGATGTTGATAAAATCAGGTACTAGGGTGGATCCAGGGGGGCCAATGGGGCCATGGCCCCCGGGCCCCCCCCCCCAGGCCCCCCCCCCCCCAAAAAAAACGAACCCAATATTTTTTTTTTTAAGTGACGTCGCAATTAAGGCAGGCACTGCGTACACCACCATCTTTTCCTAAAAAAAATAGTCAAAATGGTCAGAAATTGCCTTAGATCGCACGACAGAGCATCTAGAATCCCAAAATTTGAATCCCCCCCCCAAAAAAAATCTGCTTCTGATTATTACATGCCATTTAAAATAGGGTAGGTAGGTAGGGAATTCTTTTTTTTTGGGGGGGGGGGGCAATTTTTTGTGTGTACGATCATGTTGAGGTGTCTGTGTGTAGTCAAGTGTATAAAAGGTAATAATTGATACTTGTCGTTTTTTTCCCCCTCATTTTTTGTAAAAATAATTTAGGGGCTGTCAACGCAACAGAACTATTATTTTTTGGGCCTTATATGGGCCCTAGTTAATTAGTCATCATGGTTAATTGGCTCTGTCATGGACACAACATTGTACATTGATGATAACGCTGAAATTGCCCAGAAACAACGGTGCACAGATGGCAGACATTGTACAACATACTTTGGTTCTGAATACTACACTGCGTGGGCATACATTTATTCCATCTGTCTTGAATTCTTTTGTGCTTTTTCAGACGCCCAGATCAATAACAAACACAAAGGAAGCAGTTAATTGGACGGACATACAATGTATTCACTGAAATACATATTTGACAATATCAATCAATAATGGAATAAACGGAACACCTGTGTGCAGCGAAGGTTTGTGCACGTACGCAAACCCTCATGAAATTGGCTGGATAACATTAACAATTTGTGCTGACGTGTACCGGTGTAGCATGACTTTAGGTTTTATGAAATACAGACTCATTGGTGGTATTGCGCATGCTCATGCATAGATAATTAGGAAAGGGACCGGTCACGTGAGAGGGTTTAACCAATAAAAGGGAAAAAGAGTCCGATTTTCATACGAGTCCGATTTTTATTTGACACCGGTTCTTAAAGTTTTCATTGGTAATACTGGTACATTCATGTCAATTAAATTAGACAACATACATTTTCGCAGAACTTTGTAAGCATGCAAATTACTGAATTGGTTCAAATCTCTCCTGAATATACAACAAATTTTGTTTGGAAAACTGCGCATTTTTTCTACCAGAAATGGTTTTGATTGAAAGAAAACAGTCATTGAAGGTGGTTTTTAAAATAGTGTGCCTGCAGGCACACTTTTTTACGTGCGCTAGCAACATAATCTAATAAGAACCAAAAACGATTATGCATGCTTTTTATGTTTTTTTTCCCCAAAATGTATAGTATTAGTAGCCAATGAGCTAAAACCCTCAACATTTTTGTTATGCATCGTACCGGTACCTAATATTTTAAGCACTTTTGTTGCTTGCTTAAAGCTATAGTCCATCTTTTGCAGCCATCCAAAAAGTAACTGGCGTAATTATTGTTGAAAAACATACTTGGTTGAAAGATAGTAAGGGGACTAAACTCCCTGTAAAATTATTCTTTCCGGCATGCTGTCATTTTGAAGTAATCAACGAAAGAAGGCCTTCCCAACGGTGCATCTTAATTAAGACGCACCGTAGGAAAATTAAATTTAGTAGTTCGTTTTGTTATTCGGCGAAGCGCGCGCATGCATTGGCACAACGCACACATGCGCGTGGTTGCTAAAATTCGTCAGATCAGTGCGCGACATCCCGTATAGTTGCAATTCAAAACAATTCAAAACATGATTCAGCAACTTTTGATTTGAATTTGAGATCCTAGAATACTGTTTTTCTCAGAATATACAGCTGAAGCTGAGCTGAAATTTCATCAGAGTAGTTGTTCAGTATGCTTCATTACATTTTGAACACTTTTGTTGCTTCAAACGAACAAAATGCTCAAATTACAAATGATGGACTATATCTTTAAAAAAACACCCAACCTAATAAAAAAGCTACATGTAAGATCCTATGTAATCCACACACACTCACTGCATGTCACACATAATTATACACACACAAAATTCGATGACAGTTTTTTTTTTCTTCAATTTGATAACATCTGTTTAACAAATATTCCCCAACAATAGACTCATCAAACATTGTAATCCGCATTTCACACCCCCACTGTCTGTTATTTTCCAATCCACAGAGATAAGCCTTATCTGATGTTCTTTGATCTCTTGTCCTGCGTCGCCTCACCGTACACTACTCTACTAGAGTTCAAGTGCCCGACGACACAGGTACGCTGCACACGTGTTGACACTTTTGAGAACTTCATATGTGACTAGCTAGCTGTCACTACGAAATGACTAGCTAGCTGTCGCCATAAAAGTGCTTAAAAACAGAAAGTGCTGTTTTTTACGATATAGTTGGCACAGCCAAAAATTATAGGGGTGGTCAATTTTATTGTTGTTTTCAGGTATTAAAACCTACTTAATCTGTGCGTCCTGTCGAACCTTTCTCCAATTTTTGTCTTTCTATCAGACATCTTTATAACCTTGTTTTATCCAGATTTATCTGTTGACTGTTGATTCACTGCAACAGCAGGATTTTTAATATCATTTTCTCAAAACTTAGCTTTCAACTTCAACTATGTTGGCCGTCTGTATTTCCATTATTGAACTCGGTACCCTTATTATTACCGTAATTTTCGGAATATAAGCCGCGGCTTATACGTTGATTTTGCCCATAAAAATGTTTACTGCGGCTTATACACAGGGCGGCTTATACGCCGAGCCTTGAAGAATAAAAATGAAATTCACATGTGTATTTAATGTACTGGTATAAGAAGAAATATGTTGCTGAAATGAATTATCAATTAAGACAGTCATTAACGAACCGAAACCACGTGCCACGTAAGGTGCCGAGCGGCTAAAAGTACGGTGAAAGCTGTCTTCGATCGCATATCGACGCTTGCAACAAGCCGTACGTGATTCTAGTGCTGCTGCATGCTTTCCCCAGCGGACCACACCATTTGAGGTAATATAGGGGTGTACTATCTTGGAAACAATAGTTACCAACATTTCCGCTGTTTAAAAAAAGAAAAAAGACGACTAATACTTTTTATGGTGTCCGAAACATTTCTTTATTCGATAATCAGTTGTTCAACGTCACAATATAATTTTTGTACTTGAAATGTATTCAAGAAACGATGTAAACCTCAAAACAGGGACTCTATCACCCCTTACAAATTTAATGGATTCGTCCAGGAAAATGGCAGCATCGTTTTGACTATTTTCGAAGAAAGTTACGATCGAAACTTGAATACTGCTCGTTAGTTATCACAAAAATTTGATAAGTTTTGAGATAAAAACGGACCTGTATATTTTTAGGACAAAACAAATCAGCATCTGTTGCCACAAAGTAAGATTTGTACGTAGCGCTCCAGTCAGACAACACACGCAATGGGGGAAAATCACGGTGGGTTGCATACTCTCTCACGTGCTGCAGGAAAATGTTGTCATATTAGGCCGGCGCGGTGCAGGCTGCCGCACCGGGCGATGTATTAACTTTTACGGCCGGGGACCGGACGGGGCAGCCGGCAGCAATTCCCGGTGTTTTACTTCTCATCATCGATTTCCACATTTGTTTGTGAGAGTATCGATTGTAAATGATTTGATACAACTTTTGTGGCCCTTTTTATAGCTTCTGTAGTGTAAATGGAACTGGTTCAGAGCATTTTGGCTAGAATTTGGAGGCCTTACAAAATTGAAACCGCTGCCGTTGGTGCGGCTTATACGCCGATGCGGCTTATACGCCGACTTCAAATCTCAATTTGCAGATTTTTGCGTGCTGCGGCTTATACGCCACGCGGCTTATATTCCGAAAATTACGGTATATACCGTTGCAAAGCTCTTGTTCCGCAAAATCCAGAAATAAAAATATCTCAATTCTTAAAAAGTTGTATTTTAAGCTCATTTTGTGATGACAACTAGGCCAATTTTTTGTATCTATTGATCTATTGATGAGGAATGGTTTTTCACTTGATCACAAAATGTGTTTGGGAAATTGAAACATTTGTGTTAATGTTTTTGACCAAATTTGATTGAAATATCCACATTTATACAGGAGATTTGTTTTCCTACCACTGAATTCTAACAATTTTCTGTTGAACATATGACATTGGTTGAAAATGGATTCCAAAACAAAAGCTAACTTTATAAGATAAAGATTTACGGTAGCACAATGTGACATATCTCTTGGATGAGTTTAATTGTGATCTGAAAAGAAAAGCTAACTTACATATTTGCACAAAAGTTTTTAACCATTTGACGAAGGTCCTTAGACTTAGTCATATTTTGAGGAACGGAACAGTCCCGCTTTTATTTTGATGCAATATTAAACTTGTCAATGTCCCTTGCTTTTCAGATTTGCGTTTCCGCATGTCCCAATGAGACTTTCGCTCCGTACACGCAGCTATTTGTGGGCGCGCTGTTGCCAGCGTTTGTGGAATGGGACAAGTTTATCTGCGACTACGACTTCAACCCCCAGACAGAGTACCTTACGGGGTCTTACGTAAGTTGTGGTTCCCAAATTTCTAGGGAAAAAAAATAAAAAGCTTACTTGGATTAAACATTGTACTGGTACTAAATACCTTGGGAAATTATTCCGTCTGGCTTGCTGTCATTTATAGAAGAAATAGAACAATTTTGGTGATTTCCAAGGATCAGTCAATTGACTGATTTTGGGAAATAAGATTACTGTAGACGAAATCTTATCAAAAAGATGCATGGTTTTTCACAGTTTTCACAAAAAGTGTAATATTTGAGCTGAAACTTCAACAGGTTGGGTTTTGAACATTCTTCTTTAGATGTTGAGTGGTGTTATTATTGGAAACAAACAAAATGCATGAAAAACAAATGATCTTAAATGCCTTTAATGCAACTGTTTCCTTTCTTTTATCTTGCAGCAAGGCACAGATGGACTGGCGGCAATTTTCAACGATCAGAAATGTGCGTCCTACTACCTGAAAAGCACAGAATGTGAGTGTGTTTATTCTTGTAGAAATCATTAAGTGACGTGTGTGCGCTCAAAGCCGGGGGCTAGACATTGTTATGGTTTGAGAGGCCATAACTCGCCGCCGCGAAAGGGCGCTATCACAACCAACCAATATCGCCCACGGACTTGTCAGCAGCAACGCCTAGGCTAATTCCTATCGATTGTGTAATGCGTGCGCACCTGTTTGGCCTAATATCTGCAGCGCGCAATTCAAACAATTCACAGTAGTTCCGAAGCAAACTCTTAAAATTTATTTCCAGTACTCTAAATGATGCAGCAAGACCTTTGTGTAACTTCACTGGTGAGCTCTTTTTGTTGTGTGTATATGTAACAACTTCACCAGGCTTACCAGTGTCACAGATATGTTGAACCAGCTTGGTTGGGCTCTACTAGAAACACGTCGCTCCATTGCAAGACTAATCATGATGTACAAGATCTCTCGCAACCTCGTTGAAGTCAAACACGACCTTAGGCCCAAAACAAAAACCCTTAGGAGCTCGCATCAGTTTTCATACCACCGACCCAACGCTAAATCCAAGCTCTATAGCACCAGTTTCTACCCATCAACGATCCCCATCTGGAACGACCTGCCAAACACTATCATCACCATACCCGACTTAAACCAGTAAACCAGTTTAAACAAGCCTTAGTAGACCACGTCATCGGGGAGGGAACCAAAACCCAAGTCAACTAGCTCCAGCACAGCCGCCCCAACTCTAGCGGGATGCGGATTCTACCGTTTAGCTGGAGCAACTGATACAGATACAGATACAGATAGTATGTTTGAGACTGAAAATGGACCATACCGCGGAGGGAGATTTTAGGAGATTCCCTAGACGTTGGTACTGACAAATCCGTGGGAGATATTGGTTGGTCATGATAATGCCCTCTTGCGGCGTCGGGTTATCACGGCTGTGGGTTATCGCTTATCAAACCACAACAACGTCTAGCCCCTTGACTACCGGAGCAGCAGTGACTGTATTCGATAGCCTAGTGGACAGGGCACACCGAGCGCGCGTACTGGCTTTGCGCGTGTAAGGTGAGAAGTACGCATGCCTCATTATATTCTGAATTTGCAGAAAGCCGTAGCGTCTTCGCGTGAGCGTCAGGCATCATCGGCAATGCGTTTGAATTTCTCTCCTGGTGGTCGCCCCCAACTCTCTCTTTGAGGAGGTACTTGTGAACGGAGTCCAAGTGCGTAATATTTGTGTATATCGCGGTGTTTGAGTAGTAAAACTGCGCTAGGAAACAGAAGGTTGTGGGTTCAAATGCCAGCCGAGTAAGCTTGCGAAGTTTTCCTCTCGGACGATGCCGACCATGCCTGTCGGTGAAGGAACCAAACAAATTTGAGAACCAAAGTGACTGATAATTTACTATTCTTTTTTGCAGATGCGTCCCGCTGTCTGCCGTCATTCCTCGTCGATTCGGCCAGCGACGTCGCCAGCGCTTTCTCGTCCGAAGACACCATCACCTCGTCCAACGGAGAGTCCTTCAACAGCTCCACCGCTCAAGAACTTTTCTCAAAGTAAGACAGAAAAAAAAGTCTTCTTCCAATAGTTTCTTGTCCGCCAATTTTTTTTTTAACTCCAGGATTTATTTTTTTGAACTCCGGGAGTATCTCAATCCATTTTATTTGGACTCTGCATTCTATTTGCTGTTCTAATTGACAAAATTTGCCTTCAATTACTGTAACAAGCGATGAATCACGATGTGTACCTGAACAGTCATTGATGCTACGAACTAAGGAAGTAATTAATTGCACAGTGGAACAGGTGGAAGCACATGTGTAGGATAACCATAATGTATTTGGTGCGAGTACTATCTATATAAACTGACGTCATCTCATTAATAGTGCAACTGCATTAGGATAACGTATTCACTACGGAAGTATTTGTTGCGATCAAGCTAAATGAGTCGTTTGTCAGGAATTCTTATTTGGAGATTCAGGCCAAAATAGGGCCACTTCATCGCATCACTTCATCACATCACTTCATCACATCTCTCGGTGTTCCGACCTCCATAATTTTTGAACTAAAGATGGCATCAGCGTGCGGTTTTCACAGCAGTAATGCTGAGATTCTGTTCCTTTGAAATCTGTAAAAAAAAAAAAAATTGACCAGGGTCGACAATCGACTCATTTAGCTTGATTGTATTACATATAATTTTTGTTCCTGTCTTCGCGCAAGCGCCAACTTGATGTAGAAACTTTGTATATTGTTCTTGTAAACTCACAAGTTTTGTTCTTGAAAATGAATTAACTTGCTACAAACTGCTCACTGACTGGATTGACCTGAAATATACAAATCGACAAAATATGAGGCCTGATCGATATTTCGATCTTAACAAGATCTTTTTCAAAGGCAAATGACAGGTTTGTTCTTGTCAGTGCAAAAGCGTCAGCTAGAAACCCAGCCATCTGTTTATACAGATCCTGGAATTCTTGATTTAAAAAAAAATACCTGAAAATAGTTTCGGGTTTTTGATGTTATACTTGTTGTTTTCTGCAGTGCGGCCAGCCTGATCCTGACCTTCACATCCCTGGTGGAGGTCCTCTTTGAAGACGTGGTCGCCTCCTGGTACCTCATTGTTGGGTGAGTACGTCAATTTTCAGTTTCAAATTGAACAAGATTTCTTCTGGAAATTCTTCAGGAGAACACTTCTCTTCAGAAGAGCACCCTGTTTGAAACAAGAAGTATACCAAACGATTCTTCGTCACGCAAACCTTCATGGATGCTCTTTTGAGCAAAGTCCACTCAAGCCACTGTTAAATAAACATTTAAAAGGGTTCATGAAATGAATTTAACACTGGATCATATTTGTAGCAAATATCCATTCCTCTTCATTGTGTAAAAAGTATGCGACTTTTTCTTTTTTTTGGTAAATTTAAATTTGCAAAGTGCACTTTTTGAAACATTTAAAATGTTTCATGCTTTTCTAGACAACTGAGGGCACTGTTGCTGTAATGCCACTTTAGGAACACACTATTTAGATCGGATTTTTTCTCTTCAAATTGTAAACCCAAAATTCTGCTTCTTGAAAATATAACTGAATTTCTGCGTGGAATGACATCACAGTTTTGCTCATAAATATGGAAATTTGTATAAGCATATAAACCAAAAAGGTGCTAAATATGTCTTTGAAATGGCAATATGAAGTTAATGGAACACAAATACGTTTCAAGGGATACGTTTCGAAAAATTACATGGGCCCTTTACATTAAGTCAAAGAAAATAGTATACAAATATTGAGTGGCTCAGCGTGGAATGGGAGGAATATTATCGCAAGGTAAAATCTGGACTTTTCCATTTCACGAGGCGAAGCCAAGTGAACTGGGAAAGTCCAGATTTTACCGAGCGATAATATTCCTCCCATTTCACAATTTAAAGCCACTCAATATTTGTTTTATATAACTGACATATAGATCCTTGTCATTTGATATATTTGAACTTTTTTCAATACAAACCTGGAAGAAAATGTATTTCTGTCTTCCAAACCACCCCTTCACGAAAATGTTTGAACCCAACGCTGTAACGCTGGCTCTTTGGAACCGTACGCGCTACGCGCAACGCTGAACGCGCACACCAGCATGCATTTGCACACAAATACCGCGTCATGATCCTAACTGTTGAATAGTATTTCCCATTCCCCATGGGCGGATAGTACTTTTTGAGCCGCGGCATGAATGGGAGAAATAACGAATGCCACGTGATGTGAGTTCCACCAATCATATGACAAGGATCTGTATGTCGGTTATATAAAGCAAACTATTGGAAATAGCGATAAAGGGTGGATATCCATATTCGTCATGAGCGAAGGTGTCAGATGGCATACCCATCCCCCTTCTCGCAAATTAAAAACACCTGAACATTTTCAGGATAGTCCGCATCAACAGTATATGTCCATGAGAAGCAGTTCCGAGCTCTTAGCTCTTGGCGATCCATTGATTGATGTTAAATTATTTGAACTCTGCCTGTTTGTCTTGTAGTGGTCTAGGCATTGCCATGCTGCTGTCTCTTCTGTTTATCATCTTGATGCGCTGGCTGGCAGGTATCATCATCTGGCTGACCCTGCTAGGACTTCATGTCCTTCTCGGTCTGGGTAAGTTGATGGTGTATTTTGTAGTCCCCAAGCATCAAAATGTTCAGATTTCATATTCTTACCCAGTAGTTGTGCACTTTTTTTTCCGAGTACCGAGTACTACCGAGTACTTAGGTTACCAAGTAGAAGTACGAGTACTTTCGAGTACAAGTACAGGTCTCCGAGAACGAGTTCTTGTACTTCCGAGTACGAGTACAAGTACTTGTATTCTGAGTATGAGTACGAGTACTTTCATTTCCAAAAACAGCCATACAGCAAATGGTTTATTGTGCGTAATTGGCCCAGGCCCAGTCAGACCGATATACAGACCCACTCTTGGCTAGCTGTTAAATGTATTTGTCCGGATGTGCACAGAGGAAAATCAGGAAACTTTTGATTTCTCCACAAGCTAATCAACCATTTCAAACTGAAAGTATCGATAAAATAAGGCCGTGGTATTAAAAGTCAAGCTATACTTTTTTTTTCTCGAGTACTGCTATTCGAGTACGAGTACTTTGATGATTAACTACAATTCCGACATGTCGAGTACGAGTACTTTGCTGCCCGAGTATGAGTACCGTCATTTCGAGTACAAGTACTTTGACATTCGAGTACGAGTACGAGTACTCTAAAAAAAGTACTCGAGTAGTACTCGAGTGCGAGTACTACAACACTGTTCTTACCTAAAACATGACAATAAACCACTCAAATTCTGTAACTGCATGTAGCAAATTATTTCAGGTCGTTATCGATATATATTTGTTGTTTATTTATCAACGCACCACGCTCGGGATTTTCCACAAGGAAACTTTTTGTGGACCAAACACATTTTATAGCACATCTCTTTCCCTTTTATATCCCTCGAATTTTCTTTGTTAAAAAAATTATCTTTTGGTATCATTTAGAGTGTATTAGACGTCTTTTATTCATGCTTTGTGTTTTTTGGTTTTTTTTGCAGGTTTGTATTCCTGTTGGCAGCAATATACCAGCTTGGCGGGAATGGACGGCGCAGACGCAGCCATCACGTTCACCACGGACCTCTCCAGCTACCTGCGACTGCAGCAAACGTGGCTGATCATCGGTAAGTTGAGATACTAGCTGCCACATAGAACAACGAGGGTAAGCCTTATGGTCAAACGTACACACTCTTTACCAATTCACGCCGGGATTATTTTGACAAGAACGGAACGAGGCACAGGATTACTTTTCACTCGATCTCAAGCCAGGCGGGTTGAAGCCATCACCCTCGGGCAGCACACTCATATTTCCGGCCTCGCTTGCTGCGAGCGGGTCGCTGACAAATATTTCTAGCCTCGCTCCCTGCATGTTTATCCGTCATCCGTTCCAAATACCACAAAACCTTTGTGTGTAATACACGCCATCTGACTCGAACTGGTTAACAGAAAATAATTTGGATTCGAAGGCTGAATTTCTCTATTGGTGGGAAATTTGAGTCGGGAAGGAGGGGCAATGAGTTACTATGTGGACTTCTTTATCTGTTGAAATTACGGACCGGATGATCTTCTTACTTTTTTAAAATTGTGAGGCTGGCACAGTTGAAGAGCATAATATTAAGGGAATAAATGTGTGCTTGGGAAGTTTAGATCACTCTGTTTAAGACCGTTTGGAGTCTTGGTGCTGATTTCGGCTCAGGTAATTATCAGCACCCAATTTTGTTCAACAAGTTCACTTCACGTTTTTCGGTAAAAAAAATCTAAACTTTTCGGTCCAAAAAAAACACCTTTTTTTGAAACACCCCTCTAGCTAAATAATGGAGTGTCCAGTTGACGAGTAAGGTGAAACAACTCCTTTTATGGAGCGTATTGCGCGATGTCGCGCAGAATGCACCTGGGGCGTTGCGTCGTGAATTTAGGACAATACAATTCTGACTCACTGGTAGTATTGCGCATGCCTATGTGGGGATTGTGAATGTTCAACCAAGAAAACAATAAGAGGCACTGGATTTTGAGGAGTCCAAATTTCATGTGACACTGGAAAATTGTTTAAGACCAGCTAGCCATATCTTTATCATCCGTTCTGCGGCCACGTGACGGGCTCTCAACCAATAGGAATGGGTAAACCGTCTTAGGTATTTATGAATAATGATTTATTATCTTTCCATTTTTTAAGAATACCTTTTCATATGTTTTATTGCAGGCATCATCCTGGCAGTCCTGCTGGTCATTCTGCTGCTGACGACGCTGTGTCTCTGCAATCGCATCCGCGTTGCCATCTCTCTTATCAAAGAGGGCAGTAGGTAGGTCCCCCTCCCCAACCCTCTCCCCCACACCCTGCTCCACCCAATCCCCCTCCTTTCACCCCCACCCCCTTCACCCCACCCCTGACGGAAATGCAAACCATTTGATTAAATTATTTTGTTGTAAAAGTACGAAACCCATCTCTAATTTGTCAACTTATTTCTGACTTTGCTTCAGGGCCGTCGGCAAGATGATGTCCACCCTAATATGGCCGATATTTCCATACATCCTGCAGTTTGGGTTCTTCGCCATCTGGGCCACCATTGCTGTGTATCCTTTTTTTATTTCTGCATTTTCATTGAAATCTGCACAAACCCACACAAGTGTGTATTGGCCTGCAATCAGTGACAACCTATTGTCCCTCTTTTGTTTGTACTTTAACTTTTTAGGAAGACCTCCCATATGTTTTGTACGCGAATCCAAATTGGAGACCTTCGGGAATTGGGGACCCTATTGTCCTCTATTGTTCAATGTCCTATATTGAATGCAGAAACAATCTCACAAACCCTGTGTTTCTGTAACCACTTGCTGCCGTGATTTTGGCCAAAATGCACTATTTTTAAAAAAGACAATATTTGTGTCAGCAAAATGTTAAAATCAAGTCAAACACACAAATACTCACTCTTGAGAGTCATTTGTACACATTTGTAAGATAGTTTTCATCGTAACTTCATATTTTGCAAAAATGCCCTATCACGGAGCCATATTTGCTACGACAAAAGGCTGTGATCGGAGGCCAAGTTCAAGATCAAAACACGGTGTGTTCAAAACCAACGGGAACCACTGACGTGTATACACGTCCATCGCTGGAGACTCGAGGAAAACTTAACGATTTAACCCGTCACCTGCCCCTGCGAATATACTTTGCCAAAACGGTTTACACGTCCTGCGGCATTAACTGGTTAATGAAATTAACCATTAACGGCATTAACTGGTTTTAATAATGGAAATAAAGAGCAAAGTAGATCCATGGTAGTGTTTTAACATTTGGAATTTAGAGTAGCGTGTGTGTTCCTTGACCGATCCATTAACACAGCTTCCTGGCAACATCACATCAGGCCACTTACACGGTCTCCATGGATGACAATGACACCGTGGCACCGGCGGACAATGACACCTGTGATCACACCGTAAGTCACTGAAACGTCGGTCGATCTTCCTGAGCTTCAGTGCTCTGTTTGGATCGACTCATAGAATAATAACATGGTGCTTGTATGGCACTTTTTACCGAAGTCTCAAATCGCTTCATAATTGTTACCCCTGTTCATCAGGCTATGAGACCAGTCAACAACTGGAGATCGGCACAATGTGGTCTCTGCAGTATGTCCCAAGAAATGTTCGTTTAAATATTTTTGAAATAACTAAAAAAAACACGAAGTAAGTTTTGACAATTTGTGATTGTGCTGATGTGGTTTAGGGATTGGAATCATTTGCCCTTGAGCATGAAACTGAGGTCTTGTCATAATGACATGATAGCCAGGCAAATGATTCCAATCCCAACCGCAGCCCTTTTCACAACATGCAGGATTTCACACAGCTTACATAACACAGCACTGAAATTGAAAAAGGCAAGGAACTTGGTCACAGTGTCCAAAAATCTTGTTGTGATCAGTTGACCATTGTGCAGTGAGGCGTGTGGGAAAATAAATGAAACTCATGGGTTTAGGCCAAGGATTAGGACTTTATCTGCACGATAACTTTATGGTTTTGTAGTTTTTGGACGGACACATTTTTGGGACATACTGTGTAGGGTGAGTAAATAAAAAACCCAAACCCAAATGTTGAGACTATTGTTTTAGTGAAGTTTTGCATGTAGCATTTTCAAAATCTAGGATATGAGCCCAATTCATAAGCTTTCTGTTAGTACAAGAATCATTCAAATCACACATGTAATTTTCAAGTTACAAAAATTTAAACACAACCACCGTTTTAAAATTCTGTCCACAGATCACAAAATTAAGGTACATGTTTTTCAGCAAAACTGAAACAAATCGTATAGGCATGTGTGTGAATTGTTTTCATTTTGCTGAAAGAACACGCACCATTTTTGTGATCTGTGGACAGAACTTTAAAACGGTGGTTGCGTTTAAAATCCGTAACTTAAAAAGAACATGAGTGATTTGAATGATTTTTGTACTAAAAGAAAGCTTATGAATTGGGCTTTCATATCCTAGATTTTGAAAGTGCTACATGCAGAACTTCACTAAAACAATAGTCCCAACATTTGGGTTTCATTTTTTTTACTCGCCCTGTATCAGAGATGCCACTTTTCAGGTTTTAACCTGAATTCAGGTTTTTTCCAAAAAATGTGACAAATTAAAAGAGCTGGATTTGGTCTGAAGCATCCAGAAAACACATTCTTGAAAGGGGGTAAGGGTAGTTTCAGGTTTTTTAGTAGTGTTTCAGGCTTTTTATTGATATACTGGTGGCATCTCTGCTGTATATATAACCCTTACAGCTTTTCATTTAAACTCCTGGATGGAGAGATGCAATTGTAGTAAAGCATCTTGCCCAGGAACACATGCTGTTGTCAACAGGCGCAGAGGGCAGGGCCCAATGTCCGAATCCTTGAGGTCCTATGGTTCCAAAACAGGACTCAATAAGGAATTGAATTGAATACATTTCAGGCAATTTATACATTTCTATCTCTCATCGTAGACATTTGCGACGGACTACCCCAACACCACGGCCGTCTGCACCTTCCAATCCTACGCCCTGAAGGACTACGTCCTCTACCTCCAGATCTACAACCTCTTCGGTCTGTTCTGGCTGGTCAACTTTGCCATCGCGCTGGGTCAGGTCACGCTGGCCGGGGCCTTCGCCTCGTACTACTGGGCCTTCACCAAGCCCCAGGATATCCCAGCATTCCCTCTCTTCAAGTCCTTCTACCGGGCCATCAGGTAACGAATCTACCTCTACCCAAGCCCCTAGTGCCCCTCCCCCCCTACACTCTCCCCTAACCTAATCACCCATCAGGTAACAAATCCACCCCACCCTCCCCTCCCCCATTCCCACCCCCAGCCCCCACCCAGCTCCCCATTATACCCATCCCCTTCCCCAACTGACTACCCTAATCTCACCCCCTCCACAAATCCCATCCCAACCCAATCCCCATCCCCTGCAACATAATTTAAAGGTAGAGTAGATCATTTGTGCATTGTTTTCATTCAAAGCAACATAAGTGCTCAAATCTAAAGAAGGGTGCTTAACAACTAACCTGATGAACTTTTAGCTCAGTGAATGCCGTATATTCCGAAGAAACAATAATCTTGGATCTTGATTTCAACTCAAAAGTTTACCTAGTAACATTTTGAATTGCGCCCAAAATCAGCGTTCTGGACACGTTCTCATTCAGCTGATTGCAGCTACCTAATGTCACTCAAATGACAAATAATAGCAACTGGTGCGCGCGTGTGTCGTGTCAACGCTTTCGCCCACCCATTCACGAATTTGCCGAATTACAAACCAACCACTAACGGAGATTCCCAAAAATGCGTCAATTGACACATCTTTGGCAATGGCCTTCTTTTTATTGTTTTCTTCAAAATGACAGCATGCCAGAAATAAATAATTTCACTGGGAGTTTAGTGCCTTTGCTATCTTCAAACCAAGTAAGCTTTTCGACAATAATTTCACCAGTTAGGCTTTTGATCGCTGCAAATGATCTACCCTGCCTTTAATACACAATATCTGTAAGAAAAAAACATGTACAATATAATTTTTGAAATTTTTTAGTTGGGTCTAAAAAGGAAACACCTTCCGATTTTGTTCAGATTATTTTTCTTTCCTGTTTTTGTTGATTTTCTTTTTGTTCTTCGTTCTCACCAGATATCATCTTGGCTCCATAGCCTTTGGTTCTCTCATCATAGCCCTCATCCAGATCATACGCACGATGCTGGAATACGTGGAAGCTAAACTGAAAGGTATGTACCACGTCAAAACGTTGATGTTATCAATAGTTTTAACTGCGAAATATTAAAAAATATCGTTGGAGAATAAGATTGACAAGACGTGAATATTTTTTATTTTTCTAGGCAAAGAGAATCAAGTGGTGAAATATGTGCTGAAGTGCCTCAAGTGCTGCTTCTGGTGCCTGGAGAAATTCATGCGATTCCTGAACAAGAACGCTTACATCTTGGTAAAAAAAGTCTCGTTTTTTTGGTGATAGTTCAGAAACAACGCAGTGGAAATGCCTTGATAAACTCTGATGCTAGGGTCAAAAAGTTGATTCCCCGTGCTGTTTATTTCGTTTTATCCGAAATTTTAGATTCCTTTCCTAAATTGCTATTTTTTTTAGCAATACAAAAGATATTTACTTTGGAATGAGACATTGACTGGATTCAAATTGGGCCATGTTTAATTATTGAATTATTACTTTATAAAATTTTGAATTACTTGCGGCCCGACAATAATTCTGTTCTCGCCGTTCATGCTGGTTCCCGCCCAAAAAACAAAACTGATAATATACTGATTGGGAGCCTCTCAGTTTGCAAAGCACATCTGTTTGTGCCTAAAATAAAACTGTTTTTCAGAGGGTTGCAGATGCCCAACAAAGAAAAAAAAATGAGTTTTGGGTTGGAATAAAACATACAAGTTGAAAAATGTCTTAAGAAAACAAATTGGCTTTGTTGAAGAGCACGGGGAAGCAACCTTATCGTATGTACAACATGGTTTAGCCATTTTTAAGTTTTTAAAGAGAAGATACAACATTTACAAACATCAAAAAAACAAAATGATCAAATAACCATGAAATTCTTTACTGGACTGTTAGGGAATGACAGTCTGAAGCATCCCATACAATCATGGCTCCTGGTGTGCTGACATTTTAAAGTAAAGTGGTATTTTTGTATCAATATCCAACGCTGGTCGGCTGACCAGCATTGTAGAAAACCGGCTTTTTTCAAAAACTGCTCCTAATTTTTCATATTGAGTTATTCCACATTTTTTTGCAATTGGTTACACACCTGTGAGGGGGAAGCCAGCTAGACTGATTCTCTGACCTTACAATTCCCCAAAGTCTATTAATTGCTTCGTTTCATCTTAAGTGGGTCTGGGAATCAGACTACAAGAACATGATTGGTTTTCTTGGTTTTTCCAGCATCTACGAACACCAAAATGTGAAACAAGTCAGTGTAACAATATTTGCTTTGACATACTTTTCCTCCAAATCCATTTATTTCTGAAAATTACAGCAAAAGCAAATGTTGTACATTCCCTTTAAAGAAGAGAGAGAGTAGGTGTTACATTGTTCTTCTAGGCCCAATTTGTTTCCTTTGGTGCATGAAGACATGACATTATTTTTTTTATATCATCTACAGATTGCCGTTTACGGAGAGAATTTCTGCACATCGGCAAAGAACGCCTTCTTCCTACTACTCAGGAATATTGTCAGGTGAGTCCTCGGTGGAAAGTCTTTTCTTTGAAAATTCACAGTGTTTATTTTTGTGGCTTCAATCTGGATCTGTCTTAAGCTTAAGCAGGGGGACCGTGGCCTAGTGGTTAGGGTTTGTGACTCCTGATCAGAGGGTTAAGGGTTCCCATCCAGCTGCTGGTCATATGTTGTGTCCTTGGGCAAGCCACTTCACGCCCACTTGCCTCTCTCCACCCAGGGGTATAAATGGGTACCGGTTTTAGGTGGAGAGTATAGCTGCCCGGGGGAAAAGAAATACAGTGGAACGACGCTATACGGAACACCGCTATACCGAACATTCGGCTATACCGAACATCATCCTTGGCTCCCGGTTTTAATGTACAAAACGTACTGAACATCGTTGTTAAAAAAAAGTCAACAGATTATCAAAAAATCTACCAGTTGTACATGTATTAAACACTATTTGGTCCACTTTTATTCCCGAACATCAAACGACCAATAGTTACATCGTGTTTGAATGGTGAAGAGCGATAGACGGCTATTATTTCCCCAAGGAATAAAAGGGAAAACCACCCGTTGCTAAAGTTTCCTGACGACTCCTTCTGCGGCCGCGGGATGTGAGAAATGCCGGTTCACTTTTGGACAAAGAGGGTACCGGCGGTTCAAAATCGCTATACCGAACGATTGTTATTACGAACACTTTCTGTGGATCCCACGATTTTCATTATAGTAACTGTATTCTCAAGTGGTTCATGCCCCCCAAAAACTGAGATAAACGCTGGTCTGATGGGCCATTGGCTCATATGACTTTACTTTTTAGCCTTTTAGTGACTTCTACAGCCTTGTTAAAGCTGAAGTTATTTCCATAAGTATAATCATGTTTTTGACATCTCATTGCAGAGTTGCGGTCATCAACAAGCTGACTGATTTCCTGATCTTCCTGGGTGAGCTGTTCATCGTCGGCGCGGTGGCCGTCACCTCCTTCTTCTACTTCACCAATCAGATCACCTGGGTGTCCGCTTACATCACCGTCCCTACTCTCAACTACTACTGGGTCCCCATCTTTGTAAGTCTTAAAACCTTGTCAGTTTTCTTCCAAACCATTGGGTATATCTCTGCATACACTATAATCTGGTAGACAAAATTAGAAGCCCGTTTTTGAAGTGGCACGTGTCTGCATGCGTGCCGCACGCATTCTTAAAGACGAGGTGCATCGTGGTGACCCTATTGGTTGAAGGAGCTCGGAGTGTGTGCAGACTACCTGAGCGCGCCTCCAAGAGCCAGGTGCCATCTCAGAAAATGGCTGTCGCCGGATTAGTCTATAGTCTGGATACCGGACCATCTGAGCGCGCCTCCAAGAGCCAGGTGCCATCTCAGAAAATGGCTGTCGCCGGATTAGTCTATAGTCTGGATACCGGACCATCTGAGCGCGCCTCCAAGAGCCAGGTGCCATCTCAGAAAATGGCTGTCGCCGGATTAGTCTATAGTCTGGATACCGGACCATCTGAGCGTGCATGCAAGAGCCTGGTACCATCTCAGAAAGTGGCTGTCGCCGGATTAGTCTATAGTCTGGATACCGGACCATCTGAGCGCGCCTCCAAGAGCCAGGTGCCATCTCAGAAAATGGCTGTCGCCGGATTAGTCTATAGTCTGGATACCGGACCATCTGAGCGTGCCTGCAAGAGCCTGGTACCATCTCAGAAAATGGCTGTCGCCGGATTAGTCTATAGTCTGGATACCGGACCATCTGAGCGTGCCTGCAAGAGCCTGGTACCATCTCAGAAAATGGCTGTCGCCGGATTAGTCTATAGTCTGGATACCGGACCATCTGAGCATGCCTGCAAGAGCCAGGTGCCATCTCAGAAAATGGCTGTCGCCGGATTAGTCTATAGTCTGGATACCGGACCATCTGAGCGTGCCTGCAAGAGCCTGGTACCATCTCAGAAAATGGCTGTCGCCGGATTAGTCTATAGTCTGGATACCGGACCATCTGAGCGTGCCTGCAAGAGCCAGGTGCCATCTCAGAAAATGGCTGTCGCCGGATTAGTCTATAGTCTGGATACCGGACCATCTGAGCGCGCCTCCAAGAGCCAGGTGCCATCTCAGAAAATGGCTGTCGCCGGATTAGTCTATAGTCTGGATACCGGACCATCTGAGCGTGCCTGCAAGAGCCAGGTGCCATCTCAGAAAATGGCTGTCGCCGGATTAGTCTATAGTCTGGATACCGGACCATCTGAGCGCGCCTCCAAGAGCCAGGTGCCATCTCAGAAAATGGCTGTCGCCGGATTAGTCTATAGTCTGGATACCGGACCATCTGAGCGTGCCTGCAAGAGCCTGGTACCATCTCAGAAAATGGCTGTCGCCGGATTAGTCTATAGTCTGGATACCGGACCATCTGAGCGTGCCTGCAAGAGCCTGGTACCATCTCAGAAAATGGCTGTCGCCGGATTAGTCTATAGTCTGGATACCAGACCATCTGAGCGTGCCTGCAAGAGCCTGGTACCATCTCAGAAAATGGCTGTCGCCGGATTAGTCTATAGTCTGGATACCGGACCATCTGAGCGTGCCTGCAAGAGCCTGGTACCATCTCAGAAAATGGCTGTCGCCGGATTAGTCTATAGTCTGGATACCGGACCATCTGAGCGTGCCTGCAAGAGCCTGGTACCATCTCAGAAAATGGCTGTCGCCGGATTAGTCTATAGTCTGGATACCGGACCATCTGAGCGTGCCTGCAAGAGCCAGGTGCCATCTCAGAAAATGGCTGTCGCCGGATTAGTCTATAGTCTGGATACCGGACCATCTGAGCGTGCCTGCAAGAGCCTGGTACCATCTCAGAAAATGGCTGTCGCCGGATTAGTCTATAGTCTGGATACCGGACCATCTGAGCGCGCCTCCAAGAGCCAGGTGCCATCTCAGAAAATGGCTGTCGCCGGATTAGTCTATAGTCTGGATACCGGACCATCTGAGCGTGCCTGCAAGAGCCAGGTGCCATCTCAGAAAATGGCTGTCGCCGGATTAGTCTATAGTCTGGATACCGGACCATCTGAGCGCGCCTCCAAGAGCCAGGTGCCATCTCAGAAAATGGCTGTCGCCGGATTAGTCTATAGTCTGGATACCGGACCATCTGAGCGTGCCTGCAAGAGCCAGGTGCCATCTCAGAAAATGGCTGTCGCCGGATTAGTCTATAGTCTGGATACCGGACCATCTGAGCGTGCCTGCAAGAGCCTGGTACCATCTCAGAAAATGGCTGTCGCCGGATTAGTCTATAGTCTGGATACCGGACCATCTGAGCGTGCCTGCAAGAGCCAGGTGCCATCTCAGAAAATGGCTGTCGCCGGATTAGTTTATATTCGTGGTCCATGATGATGGGATTTTGGATTTTTTTTATAATACAGCTGCAGCCGATTTCACAAAATAGTGCTTAACTTACGCCATGTGTAGGACTCACACAACAAATTTATTACGCAGCTGCGCAATAAACTTACAATTGATTTCATGAAACTTGGCGTAGCTGCGCAACGTTTTTAATAAAACATCTTGGACGAGGATAATTACAGCATTATGATGGCTGTTTGTGTGTGGTTTTATTCGTTCGTGAAAAAGTTATTTTTAAAAAAAAAGTTTTGTCCGTTTTTCTTCGGAATCGTGCGTCAACTCTGAAAACCTGGTCACAAGTAAAATAGCAATCAATCAATCAATGTACCTCAAACACAAAGCTGTGAGTGTCTTGTATCAACCCTGATACGTTGTGCAGTGACAAGCTCAACGAAGATCACGATTTGCTGGTAAATTAAGGTCATTTTCAGTCGCTTTGCCACAATTTACGTCACCTATTAATGATTGCGCAAGTTATGCAATGATTTGTTGTGCAAGTTGCAGGCTTTACCCTCTGTGAAACTTGCGTGAAATTGTCATAACTGAAATGTTGCACAGCGTGGAATGTTGCACAACTTAGGCAATAAATTGTGACGCAAGTAGACTAATGACATTGGGTACAGATTCATGAAACTGGTCCTTGAGAAGCCGTGGCAGTAGATGTCACCATCAGCAAGATCAATCAAATCCTGTCTCGGGAGTTTCGGCGGCGCTACCCAGAAAATTTCAGGCATAGCTCAAGCGTGCTGTAATCAAGCATTTTTAATCGAACATTTCATCAAAGTTTTCCAAATTCCAAATGGTGTTTTCCAAATTGTTTTTACTCCAGATTATTACCATTGGGACCTACTTCATCGCCAAGTGTTTCTTCAGCGTCTATGACATGGCCGTCGACACACTCTTCCTATGCTTCCGTGAGTCAAATTCCGGAATATTTTTCTACTTTTTTTCTCTTCATTTGTTCAATTCCATTACTTTTTCAACAACTTGTCATCCTCAGAAAGCTCTGAATACCGAATTCTGTGCTGTCAATCACCATTTTATGCTAACAGCGCTAGTATAGGCCAAAAAAACAAAAGTCTCCGGTTTCTGATATGCGCGCGCGTCGCCGTAGCCATGTGCGTCGGCAAAATGAAATTTTTTTTTTCAATGTAAGATGATGTCTCAAAACTGCCAAACTCACTGGTTTGACTGGAATCCTCAGCTGCTGCTGCACAATTTTTTACGTGTTTTTAGATGGGGTTATGATCGAGTATAAGCTTTATGTGGCCTCTCTGGACTCCCATTTACATGTATTTTGCACTAAATTTAGTCGGGCACCATTGAAAAAAAAAAAGTAAAAAAAACCCAAAAGCCGCATCTCCGCACCACTTTTGGGGCAAGCTCCATACCAGAAACCGGAGACTTTTTTTGGGGGCCATAAATATTCTGCGCTAAAACCTGTGTGCACAGAATTGTCCATACTTCGTGTCACTGTTACATCTAACATCTGTGATTTCATAATTCTGATTATAAATAGCAAACAACCTACCCGACAAATTTCCTGACAACTCCTTCTGCGGCCGCGGGATGTGAGAATTGCCAGTTCACTTTTGGACAAAGAGGGTACCGGCGGTTCAAAATCGCTATACCGAACAATCGTTATTACGAACTCTTTCTGTGGATCCCAAAAACAAATGAAACAATCATTGAAGTCCTAATAGTGATTTTTGCATGGCAAATTAAAAAGTACTTAGGTTAAACACGGACAGGAAAAATGCCACACTTCGGAAGAATACCCATAAGCCAACGTTCCTGGCTAACCTGTGAAATATGCTTACTGTAAACACAGAAATTTCTGCTATGGTAAGCGGGGATTTTATGGTAAGGGCCCATCACAATTTATATCTGGGACGAGTTCCAGACAAGTTGCGGGAGAATCATTCACTTTGACTGGAAGAAGCTTTGCAGGCCCATGTGCTGGACATGTTCCGGGAATTTTCAGTAGCAACCTCTTGACTCACCAATACTGATAACTTCATTGCGCGAAAATTGTTCAGAATCATGCAACTTATACGCCAATACAATGTCCGCAACTTGTCTGGAACTCGTCCCAGATATGAATCGAGGCGGGGCGTTACTGCAAGTGCTAATCTTAATTGTCTTGTTGTCAGGCACTCTCCTGAAGACAGTCAGAGTCCGACCGGAACGTCGAGTTTATACCTCTGGTTCTTTTCAGAACCATTCTCTTAGTTTGAGAAATGATTCCCACATAGTGTTTCCGCAAACCTTTCTCATTAGGATCTGCACCATGCAAAGCCTCAAATCTTACTGGTCTTGTTTTGTTGTCGTTTTTTAAATAAACAGTTGAGGACTTGGAGCGACACGACGGCTCACCGGAGAAGCCCTACTACATGTCCAAGGAGCTGATGGGAATCGTCGGCAAGAAGAACAAGTTTGATAAAGATGACTAAACATGAGAAGAGCGGTATGATGGAGACTGCTAGATCAGGATTATGGGCTCCGTGCACAAGTACACCCCAACGGTAAGAAACGGAGAGTTGGGCCGACCACTGGAACAGACATTCGAACTTATTACCAACGACGCAACGAAGTGACGTATTGTCTATGGTCTTTGTGCCCACGATACACCACCTCGTAGTGCGACTGACGCGCATGCAATGTGTCCCGTCCACGTGGTGTTCGAAAGTGTTCAAAAGCGCCCTCTACAGTTTGCGCGCTGGGCCCATATAATTCCAGTGGGAGTTCCCTTCATAGTTATTAAAAAGAAGAATTAGGAAAATTCTGTAAGCTTATATTTTTGTAGGTTTTTTTTTCTTGGTATATGGTTTGAACAGTATTTTTAAGTTCACTTCAGTGTTCTTTATTAAACTTCTTTTGTTAAGAATGGATATTTATTCCATTCAGCTTTATTTTATGGATATTCGAAAAGGGAATTGCCGAATGAAAATGTGGAAAATCAAAATTTAAGAATCCGGGCAATGCTGATTTTGGGGAACGTAGCATGAAATGTAAGAAATGCAGTAATCAGCTTCTTTGGATAAGAATGGAAATTTATTCCATTCAGCTTTATTTTATGGATATTCGAAAAGGGAATTGCCGAATGAAAATGTGGAAAATCAGAATTTCAGAATCCTGGCAATGCTGATTTTGGGGAACGTAGCATGAAATATATATGAAATGCAGCAATTCAAGATGATTTATATTTGAAAGTTCATGTGGTTTTGATTAATACTAGACAATATCATTAAATATTTTTTTTTGCAGAAATTCATAAAATTTGTAAATTCCTTCAGATGATTTCTCGATCTGAAAATTTATTTCAAAACCGTCCGAAAACTTTACAATATAGTCGAGTTTCGGAAATGTGATGACAATCATCAAGAGAGATATTTAGATCTTTTTTTTTCTTATTCCAGCCTGATGCCTTAAAAATTAATCTCCAGAGATTCACTCGATACCTTGACTACCTCTTTTCCATTCTTCAAAAATATTTTGAAATTCTTCAAAAAGAAAATATGTGAAGATATTTGTATTTTGACTTGCAACTTGATTTTGAATTGTATTCTTAAAATACAAATGTTGAATTAACTATGTGGTATTTTTTGTATTATATATTCTGAAATTTCTTATCGTGAGTAAGGTAGTAACTGAAGGCACTGTTTTTTTTTTGAAAAAAAAACCTCTTTCAAAACTAACCTCATCGGTTTTAACAAAAAGTTGAAGTTAATCTGTAAATTTTCGATAGTTTGTACTCTTACCAGCTTCTAGTGTGAAGTGGTAATAAGTTATGTGTTTTTTCAAGAACTTTCATGTCTATATGCCTAGGACTTGCATTGTGGATAGGGGGCTTGAATTTCAGAGGTCACATAATTTTTTTTATCATATTCATTAGACTTGAGAAATTGATCACAAATTTAACAAGGAGTTTTCGACATTTTTGAAATGGATCACGTATACTGAATTTATGAAATGCCTGCTGAAGTTCTTTTCCGCATACATGATCACGAACCTTAAGTTTCCAGTGTGCCTTGATGTTCCCGTCTAGCAAAAACGCGTAACTTAACCTTTTTCCGAGACAAGCCGTTTTTAGCTCTGTAGAGATGTAAATACTATTCAAAAGCTGAAAAGTAGCTCAAAACAGCTTCACTGTGGACAATATATTTACCAAAGAAAAATTCATATTCCTAGCTTTGTACATTTCTGTTCAAGATATTTTATTTTAGGACTAGACAATGAACAGATGAATTATATGCCTGGTGTTCTTCAGCTACAGTATTTTTATTCAAATTATGGAAAAGAGACGAAAAAGAGCGATCGGTTTTTCAAATTTGCACTATTTTCATCACACGGGATATGGAGGAAAAAAAGTTCATTCAGTGTACAGTGTTGTGTATTGCGCATGTTTATTGTAAATGTTTGCAAACAACTTTACTTTTTTTCATTGCTGACTTTCGTTGGAGAGGCTTGTTAACAGTTCGGTGTATTCAAGTCCAACAATCATTACATATTTTAATGGAAAATATTCCTTTATTTAAATGAGCATCGTTTTGGAAGATGCCAACAGTTTCTGTACATATTTGCAATTTCTGTATATTTTCGTATGTGACGCAATGGAGTTCAACAAGTTTTAAATGGTGTTGTTTTGAAATCTAGTTTGTATTGCACCTACTTCGGGGTACATGTACAAGGCAGTCGAATCTCGTTAATACAAACTCGTTCGGACCTAGCCAAATTGTTTGTTATATCAGAATTTTGTATTAAGAGGAACATCAGTCCCATTCAATGTGCACATAAATGCACAGTCGGGACCAAGGCTTTATGTTTGTTATAACCAGAATTTTGTATTAACAGAGTTTGTACCAACGAGAGTCGACTGCACAGAACGAGTAAAAAATACCCCCTTTTTAAGTTAATTTTCTCAGAAATGGAATAAAGGTGGCCAAAGTTTATTTCACCAGAATTATGTCTCGGCTTATCTGAATAGATCGTGCATTAATTTCATTAATGTGGAGCTAAGCATTGCGATTGTGTAAGCACTTGTTCATCGTGTCCTCAATTTATTTCCGTTGCAAGCTCTTGGAATTGACAATAACCAGCACACAGCTACTTATCTCCTTGCATCTGGTTGCCTGAAATCATTGCCTGGCTGTTCTTCCTTCAACTTGAAGGCCATTGAGGTGAACACACAATTTTATTCCAAGAGTTTGGAACGGTAATAAATTGAGGACACAATAAACAAGTGCTTTAATCGCAATGCTTAGCTCCACATTAATGAAATGTACATGATTTATTCAGATTAGCCGTGAAATAGTTCTGGTCAATCATTTTTTGGCACTCTTCTATTTCCGGGAAAATTAACTTAGATAAAAAAAAAAAAAAAAAAAAAAAATCGTTTTTTTTTTACTCACCCTGTAGTTCCTAAATGTGTGAATATTTCAGTTATTTCCCATTATTTCCCAAAAAAATCATGGGAAAGGAATTTAAAGAAATTGGATGCTGAATGATTTTGGATTGTGAATAATTATAAAGAAAGTGTTAAAAGACAATGACAGAGATGAACGGGAATAACAGCTGTGCTTGAGAAATGATAAAAACCTGACTTGATATACTGAATGCCTTACATCTTTCACGGGTTATTTGTAAAATGTTTATAAAATAGTTTTTCTTCTCTACTAATCTTTTAACTTGTGAACACGCCTTAACACTAATACTGTGTCTTTTCCACCTTGTACATAATTTACCGCAAGATTGTATATATTTGTCAAGAATTAAAAGCAGCAAGATCGTGTGGATTGTACTTGTGTTATGTTTCGATTATTTTTGTTGACAAACTATTTAATTAGCCCAAAGTTTGGTTGGAATTTTTCTTTTGAAAAGCACATCTTTCCCAGAGATCAAATTAGAATGTATGTTCTATAATGTTCCCTTTAACAGGCATCTTTCCTGTAGGTTTGAAGAAATTTCCTCTCTTTTTTTGGCCGAAATTGAACAAAATGCAATGGGTGAGCGTTTCTCTTGAATTTGAGCCCAAAATTACTATACTCCCGAGGACAATGCTTTATGCTTTCCTTTGTCCGTGTAATATAACGCACTCCCATAGCTCCCTCTAAGGGCGACTGTGTTGGGGTCCCCCAGCGGTATATCGCTAGGGTCGACCGTATTTTTGGTCGCCTCCAGCGGTATACCGCTATGGGCGACGGTTGTTGAGCGCCCCCAGCGGTACGTTCCTCTAGGGCGACTGTGTTGGTCGCCTCCAGCGGTATACCGCTACGGGCGACTATTGTTGGTCGCCCCCAGCGGTAGATCGCTATGGTATACCGCTACGGGCGAGTCGCCCCCAGCGGTACGTACCTCTAGGGGCGACTGTTTAATTGTTGGTCGCCTCCAGCGGTATATCGCTAGGGTATACCGCTACGGGCGAGTCGCCCCCAGCGGTACGTACCTCTAGGGGCGACTGTTGTTGGTCGCCTCCAGCGGTACGAACCTCTAGGGGCGACTGTTGTTGGTCGCCTCCAGCGGTATATCGCTAGGGTATACCGCTACGGGCGAGTCGCCCCCAGCGGTACGTAACTCTAGGGGCGACTGTTGTTGGTCGCCTCCAGCGGTACGTACCTCTAGGGGCGACTGTTGTTGGTCGCCTCCAGCGGTATATCGCTATGGTATACCGCTACGGGCGAGTCGCCCCCAGCGGTACGTACCTCTAGGGGCGACTGTTGTTGGTCGCCTCCAGCGGTACGTACCTCTAGGGGCGACTTTTGTTGGTCGCCCCCAGCAGTATATCGCTAGGGTATACCGCTACGGGCGAGTCGCGCCCCCAGCGGTACGAACCTCTAGGGGCGACTGTTGTTGGTCGCCTCCAGCGGTATATCGCTAGGGTATACCGCTACGGGCGCGTCGCCCCCAGCGGTACGTACCTCTAGGGGCGACTGTTGTTGGTCGCCTCCAGTGGTATATCGCTAGGGTATACCGCTACGGGCGAGTCGCCCCCAGCGGTACGTACCTCTAGGGGCGACTGTTGTTGGTCGTCTCCTGCGGTACGTACCTCTAGGGGCGACTGTTGTTGGTCGCCCCCAGCGGTACGAACCTCTAGGGGCGACTTTTGTTGGTCGCCTCCAGCGGTATATCGCTAGGGTATACCGCTACGGGCGAGTCGCCCCCAGCGGTACGTACCTCTAGGGGCGACTGTTGTTGGTCGCCTCCAGCGGTACGTACCTCTAGGGGCGACTGTTGTTGGTCGCCCCCAGCGGTATATCGCTAGGGTATACCGCTACGGGCGAGTCGCCCCCAGCGGTACGTACCTCTAGGGGCGACTGTGTTGGTCGCCTCCAGCGGTATACCGCTACGGGCGACTATTGTTGGTCGCCTCCAGCGGTATACCGCTAGGGTATACCGCTACGGGCGAGTCGCCCCCAGCGGTACGTACCTCTAGGGGCGACTGTGTTGGTCGCCTCCAGCGGTATACCGCTACGGGCGACTATTGTTGGTCGCCTCCAGCGGTATCAGGCGCTAGGGTATACCGCTACGGGCGAGTCGCCCCCAGCGGTATGTACCTCTAGGGGCGACTGTGTTGGTCGCCTCCAGCGGTATACCGCTACGGGCGACTATTGTTGGTCGCCTCCAGCGGTATACCGCTAGGGTATACCGCTACGGGCGAGTCGCCCCCAGCGGTACGTACCTCTAGGGGCGACTGTGTTGGTCGCCTCCAGCGGTATACCGCTACGGGCGACTATTGTTGGTCGCCTCCAGCGGTATATCGCTAGGGTATACCGCTACGGGCGAGTCGCCCCCAGCGGTACGTACCTCTAGGGGCGACTGTGTTGGTCGCCTCCAGCGGTATACCGCTACGGGCGACTATTGTTGGTCGCCTCCAGCGGTATACCGCTACGGGCGACTATTGTTGAATATTGTTTGATGCTCCGCTTACTTCCAAAGGAATTTCTGCATTTTTTTTTGGAGAAAAATCAATTTTTGGTCAAATTTGAATAAAAATGTAAGGCTAACCCCCTTTTCGTCTAAAAATTTAAGATTTGAGCAGAAATCGACGATTTATTTTGGGGGGGGGGGGATTACAAGAAAAAAATAACATTTTGGCAGCATTTTACCCTAAACTTTTTTCGTAAATGTAATTTTGTGTAGTTGGTTCCCTTGGGCATCTTTTCTGCAATTTTGAAGCATTTTAACTTTTCTGCGAAATGAGAAAAAAATTAACATTCTAAATCAAATTTGGCCACAAATTGACTTTTCTCCAAATTACTCAGAAATGGGTTCGGGGGCAAGAGGAGCACCAATCAAAATACCAAAAAAAAAACACAAAAAAAACACACCAAGATTTGACGTGGAGAAGTTCTACATTAAAAGGGAATTTCTGAGAGACGTAAAAGATTGGCAAAATGAAACAAAATCAGAGATGCTTTAAATTTATTAAGTTCCATGTTATTTATTTTGCCTATAAAAATCAATATAATAGCGTCCTTTTTACAGACAGCATACGATTTTACACTTGAAAAATAGTTTTATTATAATTATATGTATATTCTGCGAAATGTTTGTATCAATAACGCAATGACAAGATAATGGAGCATTTTCATTCGTTATAAATATTCATGAAACATATACTTGCCATCATACCGCTTACCACCCCCGTTAGGGACTGGGAGCCAATATGATATGAGGGCGCTGTTTACTTTGAGGGCGCTATTTAGCCTTTGGTATTCACCATTACACAGTTTTGAAATTTTTTATTTGGGCCGACATTTCCTTGAAAATAGTGTCTGCATTTTGTTTACCGAATGCTTACAAAATAATGCTTGAGGAGGCTTGCTAAAAATGTTGTTTAAATCCTCTCTGAACATGCATGGCAATTGGCAAACGAGGTATTTTGACACCAATACGATATTGTCTCCATACGTAATCAGTTTGTACCGTCTTATTCCTGTTAGTACGTGGGCCGGCATCGGTAACAGAACTCCTTGCGTCCCATTGGCCACAAGTAACATCATTTGCATACCATGTATGGAAACTGGGTTCATATCCGCGCGTCAAGCCAATGAAAATGACTCCAATAGTTTAACCTGTATTGCGCATCCCTACTGCACTGGCAGCAGTCGAGTACTAGGAAGACAACTCACTGCTTCCTTCTTGCTACAGGATACCATCTCATTTGCATATCGTGTATCAAAACGTAGTTGCTCTCGACACATCGCACCAATGGATAACAGATAAGAGACTCCATCTTTCAATATAAGTAGTCTGCAATCGGCTTAAAGGCATTCCTTTCGATATGCCTTTCATCTTCCGTGGCAACTTGAGAAGCAGTGCCGTTGGTACTCCATAATTGTTAAGTTAGCTTGGAGTTTGAAGCATCCGAACGTTAATGACACATCAAGCAACACCGTTTCTAAAAGTTCATAAGAACTGTCCTTTATCATGCTGCCACCATTTCATTCAAGTTTGCGGTATCAAATAACAGCACTGAATGATAATGCCTTTTGCGCAAAAAATGAACCAGACTATTTTCCCTTCCAGCCTCGTTTTGGTAACGTTGATTTGAATGGGAGAAAATCAAGATGGCTGCAACATGATAATGGCCGGGGCTTGCCAGTGAATACTCGGGTCAGACTCGTATCCACGACTTCCTACATACCGGTGCAGATGTCTTACCACTCGACCACCGAACATTGTTGGTGTTACCTTGTCGTTTTAAAGCTGAAGTGGCAATTTCACAACAGTACTATTCGAGTGAGTCTCTAAGCCCACGACTTCCTGCTTACTAGTGCAGTCGTCTTACCACTCTACCGCTGAGCATGCCGGTGTTAGCTGGGCGGTTTGAATCTGACGGGTAGCTGTTAGTTTGCCCTCACACGAAATTGTCTGTTACTAACGGTTTCCCGTTTGGATATTTTGATTATAACATCCCTATTGTGTTGAGGGAGCTTTTCAGTACCACGTCCGTGACAGCATCAAAGACAAACTGGACGTTCGACCTGTCCACAGCCGTCGTGAAGTGATGGTAGACCTGTCTGGACTTGGAGTTACTCAACTTCTTAAAGACATCACAGATAAAAGTCCTTGCCGGTTCAGCCTCGTTCGGTCCTGTGGGAACAGAGTTAACATTGATAGTCAGCCCATAATGTAGAGTAATAGTGGATAAGCTCTACAATCCTACGCACTCCCACGCGATCCCACGCGATCTCACACCATCCTACACGATCTCAACGATCCCACACCATGCCAAACGATTCCACACGATCCCACACGAACCAACACAATCCCACACCATCCCACACCATCCCAAACGACTCTACACGATCTCACACGATCCCACACCATCCCAAACGATTCCACACGATATGACACGTTCTCACACAATCCCACACGATCCCTCACGATCTCACACGATTCCACACCATCCCAAACAATTCCACACGATCCCACACGATCTCACACGATCCCACACCATCCCAAACGATTCCACACGATCCCACACGAACCAACACGATCTCGCACGATTCCACACGATCCCACACGATCTCACACGATCCCAAACGATTCCACACGATCCCACACGAACCAACACGATCTCGCACGATTCCACACGATCCCACACGATCTCACACGATCCCACACCATCCCAAACGATTCCACACGATCCCACACGAACCAACACGATATCCCATACGAACCCACACCATCCCACGAGACCCCACACTCTCCCACACAATCCTACTCAATCTGACACAATCCTACTCAATCTGACACAATCCTATATACTCAATCCTAAAAAAAAAACCTTCCGGTGAATTTTTCAAGATTTATGAGGTAAACTGCCAGATTGAAGAAAGTTTTTTCTACTTTGACCTCTGTCAAGCAATGTTATTTTCCCAACCTTTGTATGAAGTTACCTCATCGTTGGTAAATTCGGGTAGAAAATTACCAACGATGTGGTATTCCACATCGTTGGTAATTTTGCCCAAAAGTATCGGCAGTTGGCATGTTCAACAACATTGGGCAAAATTCTGATGCAAATTGCAAAACATGTTTACAGTGTGTGACTGACGTGCGATCGACTTGTGATTGACATGCGATTGACTTGTGATTGACATGCGATTGACTTGTGTTTGACCTGCGATGGACTTGTGATTAACATGTGATTGACTTGTGATTGACTTGTGACTGAAAGTGATTGACTTGTGATTGACATGTGATTGACTTGTGATTAATATGTGATTGACTTGTGATTGACATGTGATTGACTTGGGATTAACATGTGATTGACTTGTGATTGAAATGCGATTGACTTGTGATTGATATTGTGATTGACATGTGATTGACTTGTGATTAACATGTGATTGACGTGTGATTAACATGTGATTGACGTGTGATTGACTTGTGATTGACTTGTGACTGACTTCGGAGAACAACGCTCCACACGGTTGAGGCATGACGACTTTGTAGGAAAAAAGGAAAAGTGTTTAGCTCTTAGCATAACGGAAATATCTTTATTTTACCATTGTATGTCTGGAAGTAGCGTTTTAATGGAACTCGCCGAATCTTTTCTTCAAAGATGTCGCATTTGTTCAGGAACAGCATCGTGGCGGTCTTGGTGAACCACTTGCAGTTGCAGATGGAGGCAAAGAGCAGGAGACTCTCCTCCATCCGGGACTGTTGTTGGAACACAGAGAGAGTTCGATCAGGAACTATCGGTTGACATGTAGTTGATTTGTGACATATGCTGCGCTAGTGCGCTTATATTCAAGTTCGAAAATCACTAGAGACCTTTCGTTTGTTTGTAGTCTGGTTCCCTGACCTGACAATTCCCCGACGCCCTGACTTTATATCGTAGGTCAGGAAGCCTCCTTTGCCACGTTTGGCTTAATCATTAAAAGCTTTTTCTTTTCCGATAAAAAAAACAAAATAACTTGCATCATAAAATATATCATACAGTTTGATATTTCTGTAAAAAAAAACTTGTCTTATGTTGAGCTGCAATCTCCAAAGTAAGGGACCCAAATAGCAGGCGAAGTCAAAATGGAGACGATGCTGAGTTTCGGAATGCCCCTATAGGTAACCGTCGTCAGATTCAACAAGATGCAGCAAAGCTCACCCCTCGTACGATCCGAGTGCATACTTGATGCAAAAAGTCGTCATCAAATTTCATTGTTGTTTTTTAATGCAAGCATTGAATATTAATTATCGACTCATTCGTTACCGTGGCGGTTACCTGACCCAAGATTAGTTAGAATTAGTCAGAATCTTTTGGTCTGGGAACCAAACTAGTTTGTGTGTAAACACTGAGCGCCATTTTGTATGGACCGCCACAAGGGCATAAATTAAAGCCGCGGTTGGCAACAGATTTTGGCAAAACATTGCATTAACATCCTCATGATGTAAACCATGGAGGAAGGAATAGGTATTTGTATTGCTTCTTTGATGGCCTTGGTAGGCTATTTTGTATTTTCAACTACCAATGATAGCCTATGTTTGGCAACATGTATAACTGTTCTTTATTTTTGAAATTTTGACCTTCCATAATTTGCCACAGTGGTTGGCCACTGCCACAGCTTGAAAATAAAGCTTGAAAATTGTTGAGTGGTATCTCCACGTAAGACACAGGAAAACGAAAAAATCACTGTTTTTTTAAATATCATTTTGAATCATCTCCTGGGTAGAAATTGAAAATATTCTCTGTAGTTGCCACTTTACTCGGCAAATATCACTCTCCATTTTCTTTTGCCGGAAAACCAAAAAGCAAAGATTGAATCTTTGGTATAAGCCTACCAGTCACGTTTGATTTTCCTTTCCAATTATACACACAAATTTTGTTTTTATTTCGTATTTCTACTTTTTTTGCAGCTGAGAGGAAAGCCACAGATTATTATTTTAAGCCTGTAAGACTAGACTGGTACATGTCCAACTTCGCTAGTCTGGTGGAAGGAATGTGGACAGAGATGTATACAAGTCTGGTTCAATACTCGTTTGTCATACTCTAATCCTTATACTCGATAAAGGCCTGTATACAGAGTGTAGAGAATCCCGAAGTCTCGAACTAGTTTTTATCTCATAGGCCTATGTGGTTGTGCCGTGGGTGTTTGCCATCAAGGACAGCTGTTGCTGTCATTTTCTTTTCAAGATTATAGTTTTTTCTGTTTGGCCATTTCAAAATATCCCCCTTTTATAGTAAGCCGGTTCCAGTATTCTAACTACCACGTGACTGCGCATAATGTGTTTATTAAGATTTGACGATTTTTGTCTTCGGGATAAACGTTTCATCGTATGCGTGCAAAAGCATAGCGGGGTACCAGTAAAATTGAAAAGATCGTCGAGTTCTGAAGTAAAAAAAAATTCAAAAAAATGTTTGGACAGCGAAGTGGTTTTTTTTGGTGTCTTGTGTGTCCAAACTTTTTAGCGAACGAAAGTTTCCATCTGTTTTCGATTGCACGAAAAAATTGCACAGAATGCAGATTCGGTTAGCACGTCCCTCATAGCCTTGTGTACATTTTTTTTATGCCGCGTTTATCCCGAAAAAAAAAATATCGTCGAATCTTGATGTTGCACATGTGAAGTTGGAATACGGAAGTGGCTTATTATGACATTGTGCTCTAGCCTCTTACCGTGTGGTTATCCTCCCTTAACACTTGATCGTAAGCGCTGATGGCCACGGTGAAGAGAACCGCCGTCACGTCATCAAAACAATGGATCCACTTCTGTCTTTGGTTCCGCTGTCCACCGACATCCAACAATCTGGATACAGAAAAGACAAACAATGCAACATTTGCGACATATCTGACATGTTAATAGTGGCCGTATGACTACAGCACGTTTCATTTAACATCATCAAATTGTGTGCGCCAATTTTTGCCGCCTCTTGAGGGCGCTTTTGATAGTAGTGCGCCCTCCTTGTTCAATTACCCTTTAATCAATGGACTTGCGGGCATGCAATTACTGATTTCATCACTGCATAAGTTTAAACTCAAGAAAGAACAACATCTCAATAAAAGTGTTTATATTTGTTTAACAAAAACAAAACACGTTTAAAACCAATAACAATCTGACCTCAACTTGCTTTTAAGACAAAGGAAAGGAGTCCGTCGCTAGACTAGTGTGATAACGAGACGTCCACACACACAAATTGAACATGAAGACTCAAGACTGTTGCACACCGCATTTCACGCCCCCCCCCCCTCCATTAGCAAGCAAATCAAGCCTAGTTGATGTACCAATCGAGCTTTTTCAAGTCTAACTCAAACTTGGGGCACGTGTTGACAATTTATTACTCTATAATTGTCATGCCTCCGGTCCTTCAATGCACAAAAAAGGACCCGAAAGAAATTACTTCTGATAGAAAATGCCGAAATTCTCTTCGACAGGTTTAAAAGCACTCGTGTCTTATTCGAAATTGTTGATTATAGTCCCGCTCGTTGCCCTGAGACGGGGGGGGGGTGTTAATGGCAAACTTGTACATCATGCGGACAGTGTCAGTCATGAGCGTAGGCATATGGCGGGTACATTTTGGGTTCAATTTATTTTTCATTTTTTCGTAAAGAGAAACCAACGATTCTTCAAGAGAACAATGAAGAAATATCCACGACATCTCTCAGTTTATAAGCTTGGTTTAAGTACATCAACGGGGCTCTGTGAAACAAAAAATAAACAAGTACCGAGTGGTACAACCCACGGCGGCTGGGTAACGTGTGAAGACGGCTTTAATACAGCACCGTCCGTGGACCCGAATGGGGCGTGATTTAATATGCAAAACTATGCAAATTAGACACGAGCGCATCAGTGTTTTTTTTTCGAAACTGGTTTTCGAATGCAGAGCTGTAATACTCGAGTTGCAGGAATACACATGGCCGAACAAACTGTCCACAACCAACCAATCTACCCACCAACCCACAAACATTATCAGATCATGCCCACGGCGTGTTTCACATCGCCAAGGGAAAAACAAAATGGCCGGGACAACTTCGATCGGCTGAATCTCAGGATTAATTTTACTCGGATTCCTGAAGGGATATCAGTTTCGAATACTTGTCCGCTAAAATTTCCCTGACGAGACGACATTTCTTTTACAATTTTGATTCATCATCTTGTTTGGAATTGTAAAAAATTCTCTGATGTTCCCAATTCACTCGGCAAATATCGCTCTGCTGCTTGCAGGAAACCCACGCTCACAGCTTGGGGACATGAGAGGGCAATTCTCCGGTCTCAATTTCCGGCCAGATGAGTGGTTTAATGGACGTTGCCGGATATCTTCCGCTTCAAAAATTCCCAAGTCACAATATTTGCTTTTTTAAGGAGGTTGATGGACAGTGAATCGGTCTCCCTAGGCGTTATCTTGTAGCCACGCTGTCTGTAAGAATAGACCATTATCATGTTACAGCCATTTGATTTTTCCTTTCCAAATCAATGTAACCAAAGCGAGCCTCGAAGAAAAATAGTCTGGTTTCTTTTTGCACAATAACAATTATCATTCAGACTGTTATTGGATACAGGGAACAAGGATGCAATGGTGGCAGAATGATAAAGATCTGCACACGTGTTCCTTTTAATTTTTTATTCAAGTTGAGTTTATTTAACGGCTATCATGGATACATTTTCAAATAGGCCTCCAAAAAATCGCCATCCAAATAATGTTATGTGTAATATCCAACTGAGCTGAAACTTCAACAGTTAAGGTTTTCAGCATTTTTACACTTGATTTCGAGTGGTGTTATTATTGGAAATGAACCAAAACTAATGAAAAGCACATAATTTGTCTTTTATATTAGTGTCATCTCAGTGATGTCTCTAATTGTGGTTGCCGGATTATTTTTTTTTACAATTTTCTTTTGTTTACCTGAAAGTAAGTCCACGAAACTGGAATCTTGTTTCGATGATCCCGGAAGTCCGTAAACGGGACCGCACGATATCCTCATCTGTGGGTAACCAGTTCGGCTCAGCCAATCGATAGACGTTCTCTACAAAACTACACAGAAACCAACAGAACAAATTCACAATGAACATGCAAGAAATAATACTCAGACTTGAATAGAGTCTAGTTCGTAAATAAAAATTGAACTTACTAGGAGATGGAGTCTAGCAGCTGGTATTCATTGGATCTGTCGTAGCACTGCTGCACCCCTGGGTCTCTCCACAGGTCTGTGACGGTGTCTGCCAGTAGTTGTGTCACATCCGAGGTGCCCATCTCCACCAATTCGGCCTGGGCTCTGAATATAGATTCGTCCATCTGTGGCAAGTTTATAGGTTGCACAAAGACAATGATTGCAGCGGGATTGGAACGCGGGACCGCCGCTTAATATTGTGGTCGCTGTAGGGAATGTCGAGCCTCAACGTGGCGTCAGAAACAATTTTAATTATTGTTTTACTATTAATAAATAATTCTCAGAATTCAGTGATCTTCTCTGAACCACATGGTTCGGTCGATTGTCGACTGTCGGTCAATCTCGCTACTGCCTGTCGCATTTAGTCGCTGAAAGTAATGTCGACCGTTACCATAGCGCTGAGAATAATTTTAATGCATATTGCTATTAAAATATGATCTCCTTCTTTATTTCTGATCGAACCAGATGTTTCGGTCAGTTGTCGATTGCTCGTCGATCAACCTGGTTATTACCTGTCGTGTTTGGTTGCTGTAGGGAATGTCGAGCATCGACATGGCGTCGAGGATGTCCCGCATTCCGTTGATGAGGTTGGAGTTGATCACCGCCTTGTACACCATTCGTTCACTGTCGCTGAACCCGCCGTGGTGGATCAATCTACAGGCCAAATGGCAATACAATAGTTGGGCTAAAACGTGTACGTGTCCTTGGGCAAGACACTTTACCACGATTTTGCAATACAATTGAAAACAAATGTTTGAGAAATGAACTATAATGCGTCATCAACTTTCAAAAAGAGGAAAAACGAAAATGTTTGTCACCATGTCTTGTTGTCCCCCTTTTTGCTGGGAAACAGGAGCGATAAATTTTTTTTTAATAAAAAATATCTGATAATTATTTCAGTTAAGAAAATAAAACCCACCTGATCTGTTTTGCGAATGTACTCTTGCCAGACTCTCCAGCACCTATCGTGAATAGGGACAATTTAAAAAAAATTATTACCTTCCTGTTAAAACAGACGTTTTAAAACTTTCGACCCCACCCCCTCCCCAAAGCATCAACAAAGGCACCGTACGAAGTGTAGAAGACCCAAGCAGAAAGTATAGCATACTTGTTCGTTTGTTTAAATTCTTTTATTGACAATTCGTATTTTATATGAGGATAGAAACCCACTTCCCACACAACCAACTTACTGCAGAATGTTTTTTATAGGATGCATAACACAAACTATAGCTACGTGCATCAAGACATAGTGTTTTATCAGAATTGACTTTAGCCCTGCAGGTAAATCTAGCATATCCCGAAATAAAAAAAATATTTCTTTATTTCTTCACGTAATACCTACGGGAAAATATTTGTGTCGTCTAACAAACGAACAATACGTTCAATATTTTTCTCTCTTTCGTTTTTCAAAATATAGTCGATTTCCAATACGCATTATGGCGAGTATAATAGGTAACTGAATTAGAGGCCAAATTACTCTGTCATTCGAAAAAATGGAGTCATGTTTTCTAATGCTCTTGTTTTTGTTTTGTTTAATACGAGAAACGACTGCTGAAAATAAACCAATTACACAGAACTCAAAGCGCAGTTTGTTTGCCTCATCATTTGCACGAGGACGCATGTTACATCTCCATCAAACGCTCGAGGGCGCCATACCCTTTCCTCCATCGACTGATGTCTGAAGCGGCGACAAACCCAACCTCGTCCCCAGTGCTTACTTTATTTCCAACCGCGTTTCCAATAGTAAACCCTGGATAGGAAACTTTCTTCCTGTATCCTGATTGGATACCGCAATTGGCTAGTAATAGATTTTTATCGTGTACTTGGTGCTATTATTCACAACGTGCAGCACGTGTTTTCGCGATCATTCGTCCACGCCTTCTCGAAAATACTAATTTCCTTTCCAATTTGCTCATATTAATATAAAATATGATACTGCATGTTGTCTCGATAAGATCGTAACAGTTTGATTTCAAAAATCGTGTTTTCGTAACTCACGCCATGCTCGCGCTGCTACGAATTGACTCTGTTTTTACCCCAGACATCGCATACAAAAACAAACGCTAATGTGTAACGCATATCCAGGCACCAGACTGTTCCTCATTTGCATACGTGTTCAAAAATCTTGCACATGCAAATGATCCAATACCAGGGTGAGAGAGCAGGTAGTGGTGGGCGCGTATTGCTCGACACCCTGGGGACGAGGTTGGTGACAAACCGTGATGCGTGTTCCCTGTTATATGGCCACAGGCCTTGACGAACCACAGGGTTTAAAATTGGCCTTCTGTCTAATCGCTTCTTTATCAGAATTCAATTTTCTGCTGTCGCATTTGAAGATCGCTAGAGCGGCTAGAGTAGAGAGTTAAAGTGTCTCGTTTGAGTTCCGATTATAAGTTGTCGGCAGCCGTTGGTAATAACTTCAGGCGGAGTTTAATGTCCGGCCTTCGCGCAGTCGATAACATCTATAAGACAAGATTGTCTAGTATGCTGTTAAAGCATTCAAAAAAATATAAACACTTGGCCTAGCTAGGACTCCGTCTCCGAGTTTTCCGGCACGAACATGTGCGGTACATTAAAGGGCCCATGCAATGTATTTTTTGTTTATGTAATTCTTGAAAATGCGCCTTTGTGTCCCATTTAACCTATTTTCAATTATCATTTTGCCGTTTTCAAGGGTATTTTGGTGCCTTTTTGGTTTTATGCTAATGCAAATTTCCATATTCATGAGCAAAAGCGTGATGTCATATCAGGCAGAAACCTCAATGTGGCAATTGATTTGTGCACAAAAAGTTGCCAGAATTTGGGATATTTTGCTATTGAAAATTCTCTTTTCTTCGGTGATTCGTTGTTGTGTTAGTGCATGTCAGTAAGCCAATGAGGAAACCTTTCTCATAAATGTTATCAATGAGCAGATCTTTTGGTTCACTGTACGCAAAACCCTTAAACTAAGTGTCTCCCTAAAATGACATCACGGCAACAGCGCCCTCAGTTGTCCAAAAAGCATAGAAAATTCTTAATGTTTAAAGAAGCGCACTTGAATAAAATAAACCAAAAAGGGATGTCAAATACTTTTCATACATTTTAAGAAGAGTAGAAAGTAGCACAAAATGTGTTTCTCAGAAAAATTCACTTCATTGACCCTTTAAAAATCTTCAGTTTGATATTAATTGCCAGTCGTTTTGACAACTGCGAGTCTATCAGTATTCCTACACTCAAAAAGCACTCGTTGAAAGTGCTACGCAAGCATTTCAGGTGATTTAGCTTGATTCCTTCTGTGTCAAGTTACTTCACATTAAGAAATTGGCTGTGACACTGGTCATATTATTTTCCGTCGATCCTTTACTGTATGGCTGCAAAAACCGCGTCACAGTTTTGGAAAGCTGACAAACACGCGTATGGCTTACGTTCCAGCTTGTGCAACTGTACTTTTAGGTCAGGACACACGATGCTTCACGCGTGAGAAAAAACAAGACACGGGGGGGGGGTATCTACCGTGTCGAGGTTTTGAGAAGTAAAGTCGCTTCGGAATAATCGGGACGATCTTCACAATCGGGCTAATGCCAAGAAATTCTTATTCTGAGGAAATAAATCGTGTGGAAAGACATTGTCCTTGTTTCAAACATGCCCAGCATGTCCTGAAGACGGTCAGAGCATACTGACTGGAACGTCGAGTTTATAACTCTGGTTCTTTTCAGAACCCGATTCTCTCAGTTGAGAAATTATTCGCACATGGTGTTTCCGCAAACCTTTCATTATTTAGTATCTCCACCATGCGAAGCCTCAAATCTTACTTATGCCTATGCCCACCACGCACACAAAACCTACGTGATTTCACAATTTTATGGCCGCGTGCTTGCGAGAAATACTCGGGTGTGACCGTCAGACCCACGAACTCCTGCTTATTAGTGTAGACGTCTTACCACTCGGCCACCGTGCTTGCCGAGTTTGGCTGGGTGGTTTCAATCTGACATAACAGTTTGGTACGGCAACATGTTACTATTGGTGTGTGAAAGGGTACTGCGAACAAACTGGAGCAAAGGAATATCCCAGAAAAAAAACCCAATCAGGTTTATCAGCTTCGACTGAGTTGCATGCAGTGGAATTGGGGACATTCGTGAGAACATGGACAATCATCGACTGCCTGGCAATGCAGATTGCACTGTGCCCCGACAAAAGAAAACCTCGAAAAACATGAACATGGCGGTCTAGTAGATGTCTCAGGAGTGATTGGATTTCTTGTCCTGTTTGACAGATTCCCCTCGAAAGGCGAGGAGATAATTCAATCAGGAAAACCTCCGAGTAGATTCTTGGCTTTTCGATGAGATTGAGACTGCAGACTGGCTTTTTAGGATGGCTTTTTAGGCGCTTCAGCGAGCGTGTCCCATAGGCCTACATGTACGTGCGTGCGCACTATAAGTGCAGTATGACGCAGACGTACCCGGTAAACACTACTTTAGCAATGCTTTCACATTCTTATGAGAAATCTCATCGTTCTTACACATGCAGCCGAAGTTTTCGATTTTCTTTTGGCCAGGAATGAAAGGATCAACTAATAAACTGGTCAGAAAAGGGTCCCCCGATTTCTGACGTTTTCGCGATTATCTTTAAAGATTGACCTTTGACCTCGGTGTTCGACCTTTGACATCATTATCATATATAGGTTGCCATGTTGCATGTATGACTTAATTTTGGTTCCAATCGGAATTCAACTTTTTAAATGAGACCAATTTTACATTTTGTAGCCAATGTTACAACTTGACCTCAGATGACCTCTGACCTGACTATGTGACCTTAAAAATCAGTCTTACATGGAGAGTTCCACAGTACATCTATTGCCTGAATTTGATGAAAATCAAAGACAATCTTGAGAAATGAGAGTACTTCCTTGTAACTTTAATCAAAATACCACATATTTTACATACATACTAGATGCATGCACGTACACCCATACAGACACAATGGTGATTGCATACTATGCCTAATTCAATCTTAGAAATCACGCATGCCGGGGAAAAACCCTCACGAATTGGACTATTTATTGTTGCTTGATCTCTTGCCAAGCGTTGTTAAAAAAATATCCACTATACCTTCACCTTTTTGGTACAAATTCTTCCCAAAGTTAGGAGATGTCACTCAAATTAATTATACCAATTATTGTCGGGTAACAAATCATTTCCCAACACTTTCCGAATACCATTTCCCTTTCGCCGTTTGTTTTAGGGGAGATATTGTAGACACAATGAAACAGCCCTATTGAGTTTTGGGTATAAACTTTTTTTGTATTTATCTAAATATACCGTATCTCAAAATGGATTGATACTATAGACTTCATCATCCAACTTACCCAGAAGGAGAAGTTTGACCGTCTTCCTCATGACTTGCCGATCTTCCTCGATGATTTTATTGATCTCGCGATTCCGGAACGCCGACTCCTTCAGCGCGGCCACGTCCACAACCTTCCCCTGCCTGCGCCCCTTGAGCCGGCGGGCCGAAGCAACGCTAGACCCGGAGCCCATGGTCCGCCGGGAGAAAATCACTTATAAGAACGCGGTACATACACCGGGGCTGGTCGACCCCAGTGCTGCATGCGCCGTGGTGCAACAACAAAGTCTGCTATCTCGGCATCACCTGCGAATGCGACTGATCTTTAGTTTCCGCGCACTAAGAGTGATGCGCTGGTGCGATTAATCAATCTACCCACAATGTGTTGCAGTCACCTAGCCCGACGCGGATATTCACAGAAAACTTAACCATATACATGTATTTTCTTATTCATTATGCGCGGCTGCACGGTGAGTACTCGAGAAACGGACTGTGCGCGTGCATTATTACGTACGTCGGTGTCATATACAGTTTTTGACTCCCATGAAATCTGGCCTCTTTTGACCCTAACCCGCACACGTGACCTGTCACTGTCCTAATTATTTTCTCTTGCATGCGCAATACAAGCAATAAATTCGTATTTTCATATAAAGTCCAAATTTCACACTACACCGGTGTCCAATGACATTTGGACTCCTATGAAATGTTGTCTCTTTTACCTTATTATGGATTCTAACCCTTCTTCACTTAGGCATGCGCAATACAACCAATGAGTCTGTTTTGTTATAGAGTCCGAATCTCTACACTACACCGTTCTAAACTGCTATGTGCAGTTAACCGGACTCGATGTATAATGCACTGAAAATACTCAAGGAAAGGAGAACGGTCGTAGTCATTAGTGTAGCCTTGATGATAAGGCTACAATTTCTCTCCGAATTATGGTGAACATTTTTCGTGGCATTGGTTTCGCTCACTCACAGACGTAAGCACAATAATGCTCAGTGTATGGAAGATTTCCCGGGAAAAAAATCACGTGCTAACTTGGCCGGGTGGGACTCGAACCCACGACCTCCTGCTTAGCAGTACAGTGCAGGCGTCTTGCCACTCGACCACCGAGCGTGCCGGATTCGGCCGGTTAGCTGGTTCGAATCTGATCTAGCAACGGATGAACCACAATTATCACCCCAACATAAATATAAAAAGACCATTTTCATGCTGCGGCCATCTTGATTTTTTTCCCATTCAAATCAACGTAACCAAAGCGAGGCTGGAAGGAAAAAATTGTCTGGTTCCTTTTCGCGAAAAAAATTATCATTCATGCAGTATTGTTATCGGATACAGGGAACACGACTGAAATGGTTGCATCACGATAAAGGTCTATAGTCGATGAACGTGACATTGGCGATATAAATCAAAACGTATCTCACATGTTGGGGTGTTCGAACAAATTGATACCCAACTTACAAATATTATCACTCAAAGGGCAAGGTAATGATTACCTATTAGTAATACTAGCGTTATTGATTTTAGAGCTTTCGGTGAAAAAAAATGTCCTCTTGTCGCGATCTCATCAACTACACAATTATTCTTATCGGAAGCACTCCCAGAATCCATCAGGTTTCAAGATCTCTCGAGGGTAATGCCAATAATACCAAGGCAAGGTCATACTAGCGGGAAGTTATGAATAAATCAAACATCCCCTGCGGGATGGTTTTAACGTTTCCTTGTTTATTCGGATGTTGTTTTTCTCCATAGCGGCGCGCGTACTTATAATCTGACCGATTTAAAGTTCACCTATTCACTGACAAAGATATAGGCTGGGCTAAGTGAGGTCCATTAGCACGTCGCCAGACCCCCCCCCCTTTTTTTTTAGGGGGGGGGGGGATCTTCCACACAGACCATGCATGGTCAGTCAAACCAGAAATGGTCATTCCCGAAATTTACTATACCCAACAGATTGGGAGGCCGGGTGGTTGATCTGACACTAGGGGGCGCTGTTCAAGGTTGACAGACTGGGCATTTGACACTGGGTGGCGCCGTTTATCATGGCCCCCTGTTGCCAACAATGACATGATTTCGCTGTCTTAGGATTTCACTTTTGTGATAGTGATACCCTTCTTCCTTAAGATTTCACTTGTGGGGTACCGTTCCCTTTGTAGTTCGTACGTCTACCCCACAAGTGGCTCTGGTGTGTACGGTCATACAAAATTTACGACTGGCAAGTGCCTCAGTGCCAAAACTTCGTTTAGGCGACACACAGAAACCTTCTTTACAACGTTTTAAAGGTACAAGAGATGTTCTTTCTTTTCTCGCGGGAGGGGTTTCTTGCGGCGGTTTTTTTCCTCATGATACATGTAGCGATAAGAGTTAATTAACCAGTGGGTCGTGGGACAGAGCGGCTGTTATTTGTTTTTCAAACAACAACCGAGAAGAAACAACTCACTCTCTCGCGCGCGCGTCAACACACTCCTGATTACTTGTGCACCTGACAAAATTAATCTCCATGTTTAATTTGCCCTCCAACATCAATTATTATTCAAATTGAAAAGATCTGTTTATTAACGGCTTCGGGGTCGGGGATAACTCTGTACTCGAGGGAGCGAGATGCGCAAAATGAGGTTTTCTAAATAAAACTGGCACAACGAAGTGCGTGAAAAACACTTTGACGATCAGTCCCTACGTCATTGGCGCTAACCCCACTGGGGCCTGACGACGGATATCGGACGGGTGGATTAGCACTAATAGCCGGCGATCCCTCTGTACTTGAAGGGCCTTGAAACGGCGCGTCCGCGTCGAGTATTCTTCAGAGATCCGGCAAACCAAGACGGCACAAACCGGCGAAGATAACACGGCTGCATTTTCTGTTAACCAGTGCTGTAGTTGACGCGCTCCGATCCGATGGAACACAAATAATCTGAACGAAAGTTGATCTACGTTTCATCGACAGCTACAGAGAATTAGGCTGGGTTACTTGAGGTCAATAGGAGCTTCGCCAGACCGTTTTTTTCGGGGGCCGGGGTGGTACAACCTTGCGACAGGTCATTGTCTGTAAAACCAGAAATTGTTATTCCTGAAATTTGCTAACCCTGCAGATTGGGAGACGGTGTTTAATCTGACACTAGGGGGCGCTGTTCAAGGTGAACGGGACTGGACACCATGTGACACTGGGTGGCGCTGTTCATCATGGCCCTCTTACGCCAACTATGACATGACTTGGCCGGCATGATCACTAATTTGACCGAGAAAAAGACGAATAATATACAGGATAACGTTTTGTATCTCTAACGATTACGATTTGTCACAAAACAAAAATGGTTCCGAGGAAAAAGACCACTATAGCCTCTTGGTGGCGCCCTAGGGGTGACGTGGACATTAATCCTTGTATACCTTTTGCAGCATTTACACGTGCTTCCTACGTAACGTATTCACTTAAAACTGTCGGTTTTCGTAAATTTCCTTTAGAAGAAAGTCGATTCGCAGGTATGTCTATCAAATTTTGGGGAGCTCTGAAGCAGGCATTTGATTCGACAACCATTCGAACCTCCATTTAAGGATTAAAGAACAATACGAACTTATCTTTTGCATTAAAAGGGGGGGGGGTGAAAAAGGATGTTTCAAAAATGCTTTATAAAGCTTCAACAGTTCTCGAGAAAGGGTTTATTCTTACGGCAGTTTTGTTTTGTTTTGGTGATAGCTGTTCGGTGATAAGAGTTAATTAACCGGTGGGTCATTGGGAAAAGCGGATGGATTTGTTTCTTCAAGCGACCACCGAGAATCAACTACTCAATCGTCAACACACTCCAACTGACAAATCTCAATGTCTTATTTGCCCTCCGCATCAATTAAAATTCAAATTGAATAGATCAGTATATTAATGGCTTCGAGGATACTTTGTGCTCGAGGGAACGAGACGCACAAAATGAGGATTCCAAAACAAACTGCGACAACGAAGTGCGTGGAAAACAGGAGAAAGACCTTAACTTTGACGATCAATTCCTACGTCATTGGCGCTAGTCCCATTGGGGCCTGACAACGAATCGGACGGGCGGATTAGCACTAATAGCCGGCGATCCCTCGGTACTCGACAAGCCTCGAAACGGCGCGTCCACGTCGAGTATTATCTTGAGGGATCCGGCAAACCAAGGTCGCGCAAACCGGCGAAGATAACACGGCTGCATTATAGTGCGTAGTTGACGTACTTTGATGAATCACAAAATCCGGTCACAAGTCAATTCTCAAGTGACATCCAGTCACAAGAAAATCACAGATCAATTCACAGGTCTAGTATCAGAAGACAATCACAAGATCTTTAACAAGTTCTCAAGTACATCACAAGTCCGGTCACATGACCATTCACAATGCTGGTCACAAGTACATCACAAGCATATTCACAAGGAAATCACAAGACCATTCACAAGCCAAGACACAATTACATCACACAATCTTTCAATGGTCCGGTCACAAGTAAATCAAAAGACAATTCACAAGCCCAGACACAGTTAAATCATAAGATCTTTCACAAGTCAATTCACAAGTAAAAGACAAGACCATTCACAAGTCCATTCAGAATTCCAGTCACAAGTAAATCACAAGTCCTGTCACAAGTACATCACAAGTACATCACAAGTCCAGTCACAAGTACAGTCACAAGTACATCACAAGTAAATCACAAGTACATCACAAGTTAAGTCACAAGTCCAGTCACAAGTCCTGTCACAAGTACATCACAAGTACAGTCACAAGTAAATAACAAGTCCTGTCACAAGTATAGTCACACGTAAATCACAAGTAAATTACAAGTACATCACAAGTTATGTCACAAGTCCAGTCACAAGTAAATCACATTTAAAGTCACAAGTTCAGTCACAAGTACATCACAAATCCATTCACAAGTCCAGTCACAAGCAATCGTAAGTCCAGTCACAAGTCCAGTCACAAGTACATCACAAGTAAAGTCACAAATACATAACAAGTCCAGTCACAAGTACATCACAAGTCCAATCACAAGTCCAGTCACAAGTTCATCACATTTAAAGTCACAAGTCCAGTCACAAGTCAAGTACATCACAAGTACATCACAAATCCATTCACAAGTCCAGTCACAAGCAAATCACAAGCCCAACCACAAGTACATTACAAGTCCATTCACAAGTCCAGTCACAAGGAAATCACAAGTCCCGTCACAAGGAAATCACAAGTCCAGTCTAAAGTCTAGTCACCCCATATTTTTCTTAAGGGGGGGGGGGGGGAGGCGGGAACCAGTCTATCGTGACTGTGACCAGATTACTACTAGTGATCCATTCAAGCTGAAAATCCACGCAAAAGAAAGACGACCGTTTCATATAGGTATCATTCCTGACGCCAATTCGCCAGCGATAAAAAAAGTGACTCGGTACAGAACAATAGAGCAAGTGCATGCAGCGAAAATACTCCTCGTGACGTCAGGAATTCGCGCCCGCGTTCGCTTTTTCGCGTGAAGTGAGAACTGTGCCAGTCACCTGGTTGAATTTATGCCCTTCCGACTAGAAAAAAAAAGCATCGCTGAAAACCCGGCTTATCCTGACACATTTAAACAGGTTGGCGTGGGAGGTA